AACAACAGGCCAAGAGAGAGGCTGCTGGAGAAAGGTTTGCTAGGTTCTCCTCCCAGCCACGGCACCCTAAACCAGGTAGGTGCCCCAGGAACAATGCTCAGGATCTGGATACTGGCCCTGAATCACACATCCCAAGAGTGCATACATGGACCTGGGGCCCAGCCTGCTGGAAAGTACGCTTTGCTTTGTTTCATCTGTAAAGTAGGGACAAGGCTCCTTTTAGAGCAGGTCCTGTTAACCTGAAGCAGGTGTCTGTATTTGCACACACATGTACATGCCCACTTAGACACTCATTGTGAGACACCACATATACACAGAGACCCTCCAACAGGCAAACATACATTTCCCTACACATACACCAGCTCTGCCAGGGCAGGGAGGACAAATGTCCGAAGCTTGGAAGGCCTTTAAAGGGGTTCCAACGTCTTCACAGGCTTGGAGAGGAAGCCTGGTGGTCTGGGTGACACTGTAGTCACACACCTCAGTTGTCGCCTCCCATCCTGTCACAATGAACTGGTTTCTGTTCTTTCCGAAAGCTGCTATAGTCAATAGATAGGGAATTCCAGATGTGAGAGAGAAGGTGCTCAGACCAAGGGTGCTAATGAGGTAGGATGGGACAGGAGTCCTGGTCTCAGGTCACCTCTGTCTACAGAGTCTTTAGAGAAAGGAGGTACCTTGCTGGAAGCCATGCCTGACTTCCTGGTGCTCCCCCACACCTTCCCCCCACCAACCCCTGGCCTTGATCAGCCCCTAAGGCATGGATGGACACATGCTAGGATAGGGATGCTCAAAAGAAACAGGTGTTCACCCTGGCCCCCCACTTGGCAGATCTTGTATTCCCAACTGGCAACATCTAGGTGACCAGTCTGTCAGAAGGTCCCATGGTCTCCTGTTGAAAGCAAAGATTTTAAAAACACTGTTTGCTAAGAGCTCCTCAGGAAGACAGGACCTCAACCTTACTTCATAGCTGTGTTCAGCAGCCATCTCTGCCCTGGATCCCAGGGTGAGTGCGTGGTCAGGCTTGGCCAATACAAGCCCAGTATGTCTGTGGCAAGGTGTGTAGTCAACTCAGAGGAAGACTGAATGAGGATCTTGCCCTAGGGTGTTACCAGGCTTCCCAGAGACAGGTGCTAGAGAGATGGGACACCTCAAGCCTAGGGCTGCTGGTGGCCTCAGAGAGGAAGAAGCAAACACAGAAACAATGAAGTCAGGAGGTAGAAAGTCTGTCCTACTGACTTGGCTAGAGCCCTTGATAAACCTTGAACCACTAAATCATTTCCTTCTGTTTCCTTGTTCCCACTCACTTCTGTCTTCCCTTCACTTGTGCTTTTATTCTTTTTAAAGATTTTTTATAGTGTGTTGCCTGAATCTATGTGTACAAGCACGCAGGAACCCACATAGGGCATAGGAGGCTGTTGGATCCCTGGATCTGGACTTAAAGGCAGTTGTGAGCCACCTGATGTGAGTGCTGGGAACTGAACCACTGGCTTCTACAACAGCAGTGTAGTGGCTTGAATAAGAAGCCCCCCTATATACCCCCATAGGCTCATATATTTGAATACTTAGTCATCAGGGAGCGGCACTACTTGAGAAGGATTAGGAGGTGTGGCCCTGTTGGAGGAAGTTTTGTCACTGTGCATGGGTCTTGAGGTTTCAAATTCCCAAGCCAAGCCCAGTGTCTTTCTCTTCCTGCAGCTCCAGGTGTAGAACTCTCAGCCACTTCTCCAGTCCCGTGTCTGCCTGTGTGCCCCAATGCTTCCCTCTGTGGTAATAATGGACTAAACCTCTGAAACGGTAAGCCACCCCCAGTTGAATCCTTTCTTTTGTAAGAGTTGTTGTGGTCATCCTATCTTTGCATGGCAGCAGAACAGTGACCAAGAAAGACAAGCAGGAGGCACTCCCTTAGTAAGCCACCTCTCCAGCCACATCTTTGAGACCTGTCCTTTGTAGCCATGAGTCCTGATGATACCAGTGCTATGGTCGGAGGAATCTGTCTCATGGATAAGTGTATTGACCTTCCCTTGACTCATTCCCAGCTCTGAAGCCCCACCCAGACCCTGACCACAAGAGGATCCTACCATAAGGTCTCTGGATCCCCCAAAACCTCAGACTCCACAGCTGCAGTATATGATGATGTCATCACTCTGCCATTGGGGGTTAGAATAAACAGCCCACCCCCAACCCTGCAGGATAGGAAGAGCAAACATGGAGAAAGTCCTAAATAGGTTTCTGGGGTTTTATTCAAAACAACGCTGGCTGGCGGTGCGGCTTGGTTTCTCTATGCCCAGGCCATCTGGGCCAGCGCCTTCAGCAACTAGGAGGGAAGTTCGTTCACACTGTAAAAACTGTACAGTGACCGGAAATTAGAGTCACAACAGCAGACCCGGGCTGGGGGCGTGCTGGACAAGGTGGCCTCTGCCTCCTCCCAAGCCCCAGTTCAGCCCTGGTTCTGCCAGGGACATTGATTATTGCACAAAGACCAAAAAAAAAAAAAAAAATGTGTGTCTGGGCTAAACAGCAGCTTCTAAGACCCCAAGCCCTTATACAGAGCAGCAAAAAGGCCTGGAGGTGACCCTAGGAGCTCCAGAAGAAATATTAGGAACAAGCAGACAGGTAAGCGCTGCTCATGATTCATCCTCCTCTGAGGGAAAGCCAGGACCCAGAGCAGAAGATGGGAAGAAGCCAGGGCAGGCCCTATCTGGCTCCAGACCCTTCTCTACAGATGCTGTGGTACCCTCCAGCCTCCACACCACACAGCCAGCCACAGGAACAGCTTTAGGCCATTGGTACCTAGGTCCCCATTTTCCTCATAGACAGTCCCATGTGGAGTGGGGAAGTTTGTGCTTTGATGGACAGGCCATAGCCCCAAGCCAGGAACACCTGCCTAACCCTTGCCCTTGATAGCTCATCTCACCAGGAGTTCACAGCTTCCCTAGTCCCCGATTCCCCCTCTCACAGACACAAGGCTAAATACCTGGGATCTTATCCTAGGGAAACCCACCCTAGGTAAGGTTGCCATGCTTCTAGGCTCAGCTAATTGTTCTCTCTGGATGCCTTGCTGTGCCCAGCTACAGCCCTAACTTAAACCTTGCCCATTTCCCTAGAACACCCTTCAGCACGTCTGCTTGCTCTGGGGTCACAGTGTAGAATTATGGATGCCTGAACATCCCTTCCCAGCCTCGGCACCCTGATAGGGCGAACACTGGCTGTGAAGAGCAGCATCAACACACAGGGCACCCTGAAGATGGAGATGAATGACAGTGGCCCAGAAAGCAGAGGGGACAGGATGCTATCAAACACCACCGCTGAAGAGCATGGGCCTGGCTACACCTGGCCCTTGAAGTCACCGCCCTTACAACCCATGGTGTGTGCGTCCAGATGTTCAGGCTGGGACCCCTCACAGGTGACCCAGGCTCTTTGCTACCAGGGCCAAATGGCTGCTTCATTTACCAAGAGCCTCAGTTTACCCATGTATAAAGTGGGTCTAACAATCACCTTCCCACTCCTCACCTCTATGAAGGGCTTTACAGGTAGCACCCCTCAATATTTCCTCACTTCCTCACAATGCCCTGACCCCCGGATCCCTGTGCTAGATGGGAATGCTCCAGAGCCTACGAACACAAATGCAGCTGAAGTCCACTTCTGAGAACTCAGGGTCTGGGTTCAGAGATAAGACATGCTCTTAGCAGGGCACAAGGTGACCTTTGTAATGTGGGTGAGCACCCCACAATACTGCCCTGAAGAGCAGGCTACATTCTCTCTCAGCTGACCTTAAACCCATCTGCTATAGCGCTTAGTCTGTGGAAGACTTTCAAATAAAAACACCCGCCCTGAACTCATTCAGGAAGCAGGATCCTAGAGAGACCCAGCCTGCAGCTTGAGACAGCGAGACATACTCAGGGGTAAGCACGAGGCCGAGGATGTGAACGTCCAGGTAACTAGCTGGAGGCTGAGATTGTTGGGGCAGGGAAAGGCTGGAGCAAGGGGTTGGGCGAATGTTCAGAGCCCACTTCAGATTTGTTGTTACCCCAAACACCCCTGGGGCAAGGATGGGATTGTTCAGGGTGCGTGGCCATAATCCCCAGGAATGCTGAAGTACGGGGCCTTCATCGTGGATAAGGACGGAAAGTTCCCAGGGAACCTGGGCATCTGCATGGGCCAAGTACGGACCACTGACCCCCTTCGCCTGCCCTCTTGCATAAATTATTCCTGTTTGCTGTCTTCAGGGGGTGTTGAACTGTTCTCCAAAGTGCTCATAAAAGTCAAAACCTCACCCTGAGCCCCCTGCCCAGCCTCAGATCTGCCTTGTCCCCCAACCCTGTTCTAAGAAATATGACTAAAATCCCCCCTGGTTTTTCTAAAGAGAACATCTAGCCGGCTAAGAAAGTTTGTGTCAAGATTGTCTACAAAAGACTTCACAACACAATAGTCAGAGGGACGAGACTGATACCCTGACGTGTGGGGTAGGGCTTGGGGAACTTAGTAGGGTCTCTTTAAAAGGGAAAAAAAGTGCACCCTGAATTGCTTCTCTTCTGTCTCCTGGGCCCGAACACCCTCCCAAGCTGCTCTCAACTCGGGGAGACCCCTTAAACGACAGCCACTGATGCCCCAGCAGGGGCATCCACGCTGCGAAGGCCTGTGTGCTGACCAACAGGTGAGACCCCTGTCTGGGCCCTGGCCTGACCCCTCCACTTTAGCACGTTCTGGAATTCATAAGCTCTCAGTAAAAAAAATAAATAAATATATGTCTGTCTCTATATATATATGTATATATCTGCATATGCACTGGAAGGGCCTCGGAAGGGGCCACATCTGAGCCTTGGCTAACCCAGACCCTCTCAGTCGCCTGCCCAGTGGCCTGGCGCTGGCTGGCCCCTATGCCACTCCCAGGTGTGGGCAAAGTATTGCTGTCTGCTCCCTGGCTCTTGAGGTAAAAGAAGGCAAGATGGGGCAGGCAGGAGGACAGCAGGTAGCAGGTCTCCTGCAGCCCCTGCGGCCCCTCATCTCTTCCTTTTGCTCGCAGCATCAGTTGACTCCCCGGGAGGTGGCCGAGGCTCGGGTGCTGAGGAGCCCAAGCCTGAGGCCAGCTGAGCCTGGCCTGGTGGGTCCTTGCTGCGGTCTGCAGCCCATGAGGGACTCCTGGCCAGGCCACGGGCGGAGACAGTAGTGCCAGGACGGCCAGGTCCAGCGGCCAGGCTGCTGGTACTGCTGAACTTCCTGGCTGGGGTGAGGCCGGGTGGTGGCAGAGTGGGTGGTAGGCAGAAGAGAGATGTGAGCGACAGGCTGCTGAGGGTCTCGGAGTGCTCACTGCCCGCACCCCCGCCACCTGCGCCCCCGCGGCCCTCCTCATCAGAGGGGTCCATGGAGTCGTGGTGAGTGCAGCCAGGGCTGGTGGAGCCACCGCTGCTGTGGCTGCGCTGATGGGCCCGCAGCCCACGCAGACTAAACAGGCCACGCCCCCGCAGGCTGAGGCGGCGCCGGGTGGCCGGTGACAGGCTAGCCCGTGGCCCTGGCACCTGGAGCGGTGGCCCCAGGGCACGCCGGGGACTGTCACTCAGGGTCAGACTGTCCTCCAGTGTGGTCTGCAGGCTGCCCGCTGAGCTGCTAGGGCTGGCATCCAATGACGTGTCACTCACAGTCGCCTGCGGGGAGGTAAGAAGGGATGAGGCCGCCTGTACCATCTCTCCTTACCCTGCTCTGCTCACTGGTCTTTAATGGACTGTCTGATGATGGGACCCAGGATCCCACAGCATCCCCTCTGCCACACCAGCATTTCTGAAGTCTCTCGGGGCAGTGACCACAGATGCCTCACACAGGCTCTCTGTCCCCTCTGGACAGCTTAAGCTTTCCTTCTTAGTCCTGGTATCAAGCCTGACCTTCACAGAGTTTCCACCTGACTCTCATCCACATCTCCAACACTGTCCCTTGTCCCCAAGCTCTTCTACCTGTCTTCCATAGCTGTGCCTCATTCCAGTGGCTCCCAACCTCTCACCTAGGTAAGCTTCCCGCTTCACTTGCTCTCCCAGCCACGCCCCTCACACATAGTTATATTCCCAGCACTCAAGAGCTCTGCTAGCTCTCCTCCTGTACTGCGCATGCGCACGCGCACACTTTAAACCCTACACTGTCCTCCATGGGAGGCAGGGAGACCGGGTTCATTGACTGTTGCGATGAACAACCTGATGAAACTAGAGCTTAACTGTGCCTGAATAATGATTGCAAGGAGGCTGCAAGCCAGTCTCCACTGTTGGATAGAATGACACATGGCCCACCGAAGGTGCTGCTGAGTTTCTGTCCTGTGCTCCAGAGGCCTTCTGTGCCCAGCTGGCCTAGGGGCTGTGGCTCCAGCCATCCTTGCAGGAGACAATATAACCAAGTCTTCCTATTTCCCAACTTGCCCTTCTGCAATCAAGCAATCTATAATCTGTATGCAAGCAGTCCAGCGATGATGCCCACCACCCACGCATATCATTCAAGGCACAGTCCCTGACCCCAACATCCTGTCACCCCAGAAGGCCTCCCCAGGGCCTCTCTTTCTTTTCTTCTTTCCAGCAAGGTCCCCCATTTCGGCTGCCTTGGCAACCTAGCTCCCCCTCAGGAGCTGGGCTTACTCATATTCATCTTTGGGATCTCCTCTCCTCTCAAGTCTCAGAAGTGCCCCAACTTTCCCAGACTCAGCTGCCGTGGTTGCACGATGTTCTTTCCCTTCCCCTCCTCACTCCAGTCCCCTGAGGCTCCGGGACACTCTTGAGAATCCAAGAGGTGCCTGTACCTGGCGCAAGAGGGTGCAGTTGACACTCGGTGACCTCAGGGATGCCCAGGACCCCTGAAGTGCAATCTTGGGCAGGGTCCCCGCACTCATGCCCGGTTCCTGCCCCTTCTGGCTGGCAGACACAGCAGGGTGGAAGAACTCAGCAGGCATCTGCAGCAGAGGACTGCAGCCATCCGGGGAGAAAGGGCTCGGAGGTGCTGTGAGGGAGGAAGAGGAAATGCTGGGGACAGCCCAGGCGGTGGGCACAGAGCACCAGCCCTCACCTGCACTACTTAACACTGGCTGTAAGACTGTGGGCAAAGCTTCAACTTCAAGTGTTGGTTTCCTTGCTGTGAGAGCAAGGAACACTTTTGGTGTGATTTCGGGAAGGACTGGGTCTGAGCGAGTGCTGTTTTCAGAGCTCAGTAGACCAGACTCCAAGGCCTTCTTCCTCCAGGAATGGGAACAGATATCCACCCAACGGGTGTCAGTTATTGTCATGATCAACTCGACAGGCTCTAGAGTCACCAAGGAGAGGTACTCTGAGAGTGTGTGTGTGTGTGTGTGTGTGTGTGTGTGTCTGTGTCTGTGTCTGTGTGTCTGTGTGTGTGTGTCTGTGTGTGTGTGTGTCTGTGTGTCTGTGTGTCTGTGTGTGTGTCTGTGTGTCTGTGTGTGTGTCTGTGTGTCTGTGTGTGTCTGTGTGTCTGTGTGTCTGTGTGTCTGTGTGTGTATAAGTTTCTAAATTGGGCTGAGAATAAAAGGAGCCACTCTAAACTGCAATATTGCTAACTGTGAGCGGCACCATCCCACAGACTGCAATAATGCTAACTGTGGGTAGTACCATCTCACAGGCTGGGGTCCTGGACTGAACACAAAGGAGAAAGTGAGCTGAGCGCCAGCGTTCATCTGTCCCTGCTTCCTGACTGTGGATCCAAATGTGACCAGCTGCCTTGAACTGCCACTGCCATGCCTTTCCTGCCATGATGGACTGTACCTTAGAACTGTGAGCCGAAACAAACTCTTCCTTAAGTCACTTTTACCAGGCGCTTGGGCACAGCAGTGAGAACGTAAACAACACAAGAGGAGTGCTCTGGAGACAACAGCAGGTATGGAGCACTTAGCCCAGCACCACGCACACAGTAGGTATTCAATCACTAAGACTCTGACTCAGACTCTTCCCTCAGGCTCTGACTATCTTGCATGGTCTGGCCAGGCCTGGGGTGGGGGGGCTCTTGGACAATGTGGGGTTGGGTTCCAGGCACGGGCCCACCCCTGTGCTGATGGTATAGAAGCTTCCAGATGGGCTTGGTCTGCTCTGCTGCAGATAGAAAGGGATGAGGCCAGGCTGGGGAACCTGAGACAGGGCAGACTTTTGAATGCCAGGACCAGAAGCAGCTGCTTCTGCCTTCATAGAATGAGGAAGGAATATAGGGTTCAGAATATGGAAGTAGACACCAGGCAGCTGTGCAGGCTGTGTCCTGGTCAGGTTCCTGTTCTGTGCTGCCCAGTATACTGAAGGAACATCCAAACCAATGGTTAACTGAACACTTCAACAGAACGTGCCTGCAGTCAGACCCTGAGCTCTGGTTTGTAAGACCAGGAAATCCCTGGCATCCCAGCCATCATGTCCATGAGAGACCACTGGCTTTACAGAGGGTCCATGGAAAAGCCAGTCACCCAGACAGCACAGAAGACATCTTAGAGTAAGCTCAGGGCCTAGGGGGTCATTCTTCTATTGGGCTGTCTCACTTTTCCCCTACCCAGCCAATATTGCCAACCAGATTCCTGTCATCCTCCAAGAGGGAGCCCAAGTGACAGGAAAGCTAGCTTAGTCCCATATCCTGAGCCTACAGTCCATCCATGTCCCAAAACACAGACCCACTCTTCAAGGAGGTTTGGGGTAGAGATCCCTTAATCAACGGGCCACTGAAAGACGTCTTTCCGTCATATGTATCACTTTGTGTTAATATATGGGGGGAAACTGTCTCTCAGATGAGACTCCACCCAAACGCCTTCCTTCTGCTTGACACCAAGAGCTGTGTGTGGCAGCCCAGTTCCCTTTTCATCACAGAACATAAGAATCTCAGCGTGAAGCTTCCTTTAGATCGGGCTCTGGCTATCATTAGCTCGTAGGCTCTATGTCTTTTATCACTACTGTATCAGGCTTGAGTCTTCCCTCTAATTGTCAGATACTCATTTGGTTCTTTATGGAAACCTCCCTCCCCCATGAAGTACACTCTTGAGATCAGAGTGTGGGAGCTGGTAGGGCATCGACCCTCACCTTGGCTGCTCTCGTGTTTGAGCCAGGACTGGACAGGGTTGAACGGAATGGCCCCCATCTCACACAGCAGGCTCTCTGGGCCTGCAGACACTGGCTCACTGGCAAAGGGGTAAAAGCATTCATCCGGGTCTCCAGCCTGCACAGGTTCCGGAGGCTCCAGCTCACCCTGCAGGCAAGGGAGGTAGATGATCAGTAAGTTGGAGGGCACAGAAGTTGGGGGACACGGAGACATGGCTCCTGCATAACTATCCCCATCCCTACCTAGGAAGTCCTCCTTTCTCTTACCTCCTCCACCTGACCAGCAGTCACCACCTTCCAGTCCTCAAACGGAAGGTTCTCTCCTCTAGGAAGCCCTGTTAGATGCTCCAGGCAGCTGTGGTTCCCCCACCCCTCCCTTCCTGAGTCTAATGGCCTTGAGACAGTACTGGGTCCTCCTCATGTCTATAATCAAAAGACTAACTCAGTGTGGCGGTCACTCAGGGTGAAAGTATCAGACTAGAACATTAGGTAGGCCCCTCCCTTTGTTGTGACTCAGTTTCCACATTCATACTTGGGGAGAAGAGGTCTTCCTCTCTGGCCACTGCCTGGGGTCTTGCGTGAGGAGCGAAGGGCTGGGGCATCTCCTTCCAGAGTTTTCCCAGCCCCACAAGTTCCTTGAGAGCTGCCTGAGTCCACACTGATGTTGATGGGTTCATGCTACCTCAACCTGTGACCTCAATTAACCTCAGCCTGGGCCCAGCCTGGCCCGAGAAACTGTGGACCTTCGCATCACACATGCAGTACAACGTAAGGAGACACTTAGTCGCTTACTTTGCTCTCCTTGCGGCCCTGCGGGCAGGCCGTGGGGTCCTCAAGACTCAGGTCATCCCCCAGCAGGATGGACGAGGACCTGTCTGAGTTCAGGGAGAAGGCCTCTGTCTCAGCCAGCTGCACCTGCAGGGGGAGGTGGTGGCCTCGGGTCACCCTGGGGCTGGGATGGGGCAGCCTGGGCCTGGAGCGCTGAGCAACAGGTCCCTGAAAGGACATGGGGTGGTGGTCAGAGTGGTTCACGGGCCTGCTGGGCATGGGTGGTGGGCCCGCTCTGTGTTGGATCCCAGTCTGGGTGACACAGGAGGATGCCACAGGGGCCACCTGGAATGGAAACCAGGTCTGAGTGGCCCACCTTAGTGTCTGAGCACAAAAGTGGCCATGGTACAGTGAGCTCTGGAGCTCTGTTGTCCACTTGCCCCAGACCAAGTGCCTACAGAACTGGGCTGGGTGTGAGTCCTCTGAGGCCTACTTGTGTCCTCTGCAGATGTCCCTGCAAGGAGATCTGCATGACCTGCTACCTTGAGAAATCCGTCTCCATCTTATAGGGCAGGAGAATTGAGCAGCCCATGTGATCAGCTCCTGCCCAGGGCTCCTGGAGATAACCTCACAGACACTGATCCTAGAAGTCTCTGGGATGAGCCCAGGAGCTATAAATATATGTTCAGGGGCCTGGGAGGAACTCTTGGGAACAGCTGGGAACAGCCTGAGAGATGGCTCCTGAGCAGAGTGGGACAGAGCTGCCTCTGAGAGGAAGCCTGAAGAAGGCTCCCAAGAGAAGCGTTGAGATATTCGGGGTGGGGGAGGGAGGATGACCACGGCCATCAGAGAACAACAACAAGCAGACACCAGAGACCCCTCCCTGTTTCAGAAAGGGCAAAATGCCATGGAAGGGACAAAACCTGTCCCAGCAGCACATGGTAGAAAGAGTACTGCATCTCAGCACCTTTTATATCCAAGGGTGCTGAGGACTCTCTCTGGGGCTCTCTAGGTCCCACCACAGGGCTACCCTTCCTAGACAAACCACTTTGCCCAGTGGGATTGGTATGTTTCTAGGAGCCTAAAGCCACAACTTCCCCCAGTACTTCACTCCCTGGTAACTCCCAGGGAGCCAGCTCTTCCTCGGCTGTCAGTACCTCTTGCTTGTCATGGTGACACTTGCCACAGCCAGCAGGTGAGGAGTAGTGATGAAAGATGGAGCCAGACAGGTTGTCAATGATGGTCAGCTCCCCCTCCAAGGAGTCCTTGATGATTAAAGAGACGCTGTCCAGCCACAGGGTCTCCTAGGCGGACGGGGCAGGGTGGGGACAGGTGGGATTATCGGCTGGGTCCCTGGACTTTGGGGTAGGCGGGGCAGAGCTGCCTTCCCATTCTCTGTGCCCTCAGCCTGGGGCTGAGCTCCTCATTACAGGATCCCCCTCTCTTGAAGCTGAACACAGAGGGAACCCAGAAGATGGAAGGTACCTCCCAGCCCAGCTACCCATCTGGCCCCATGGCTCTTGCCCTTTGTGCCCCATTCACCTCTCAGCCCCTGCCCACCTGGGCTGGAGAATAGCAGTGCTGGCACAGGTGGCTCTCAGTGTCGCCTCCAACACCTGCCCCTCCTGATCCTCGGCCCGGAGCCCCCGGTGAACTAGTGGGCATCCTCGGGCCAGGACAGGGGCAGGGGCAGGGACAGGGGCAGGGGCCGGGGCCTAGGCCATGGGCCATCTCCAGCTCGATCTCAGCATCCATCTCTGCATCCTCCTGGGCCTCCTTGTTGCTGTCATCCAGATGTTTCATCAGCACAGCCACCACCACGTTGATGAGCACGAACTGGGCAGTGAGCACAAAGCTCACAAAGTACAGAGGCGACACAAACTGCAGGCTGCTCAGGCAGCTGCGCTCGTCATGGGTGCAGTCGCGCAGAGTGTCCTACCACAGGGACAGGCTGGTGAGGTCAATGCCACTCGACATACCTGCCCAGCCACACGCCTCACCTCCATAGCACAGAGGATGCACAAGGCTACTGGAGGTCAGGCATACACATAACACACACTCAGACATGCACCCACACCATGGGCCCCAGATCAATGCCCCTCCAGAGTCATAACTGCATTCATGCCTGTCTAGCTTATGGTGAACCCGAGCTTGGCTCAACTTTAGCCAAGTCCCTAGAGTCCTAATCTGGTTCGCTCTGGTCCTCTTCACTCCCTACAGTGGCTGACCCCACCTCTCAGACCCACAAGCAAATCTGAGAAAAGACACGGGGTTTCTCAGGCATTCAGTGCTGCTTTTCAGGCCAGCCCACCAAGGTTCTCCCTGATCTGACCACAATTCCATCTCACTGGATTTAAGGAGGTCCCTGGACGTCTCTGGTCCCTGTCTCCACTTCCTGTGTACAATGGGACACTGAGCATGCAGAGGGTACTATGTCTGGATCAGTGGGGCCACCATGCACCCAGGACTTGAAACTACCTGATTTCCCCTCAGCTGGCCCATGAATACCTTCATAATTCCATTCCAGTTATCGCCTGTGGAGACCTGGAAGAGTGTGAGGAAGGCCATGCCGAAGTTCTCGAAGGTAGCGTGCCGGCTCATACCCTCACATGGGTTCTCGTCGTTGCAGACTGAGAGGGGAGAAGTGGTCAACCTGTCCACCCATGGCACCCCAAGTTGCCACCCCAGTCATCCTCTCAGAGTACCCCCTACAACCCTCAGCAGTGCATGTGGACGGACTGTGCCCAGCCCACAGATGGGACAACTGAGGCTCAAGGAAGTGATACACTGGCTGGGGTCTCAGTCTCAGAAGCATTTGGGTCTTCTATCCAATAAACACCTCCTGAGAGAGATGGGTGGGGTAAGGGCCAGCCCCTTGGGGGAATCCCTGATTTCTCAAACTGACCTTACATGCAGGGCTGGGCTCAACATGGGATGTGTTGCCCTCTCCTTTGCCCTGGTCTCTGTTACTAGGGTAGCCCTGGCTTAGGACAGGCAATGGCTGGAAGCAGAGAAAGAAGGCTTCCCAAAAGACCAAAAGTTGAAGTCTAGGATTCCACCATACAGATCTGATGTACATTCATGAGCCTGGCTTCAGAAACTACCCCATGCTAAGACTGGGTTTGAATGAGGAGTCCTGCTACTGAGGCATCTCCCCGCACCATGGCCTCTGGTGGCAGCATCGCTCACCCAGCTTTCCGAAGAGCTCCACTCCCAGAGCAGCGTAGATGAAGAAGAGCAGCATGAAGAGGAGGCCCAGGTTGCCCACCTGTGGGGAGAGGTGGGCTGGGCTGGGGGCTGGAGGCCTGGGGTATGCAAGAGGAGAAGGGGGAGGCCTGGGGAGAGTCAGGAAGAGGAGTTCCAGAACTGGAGGAGGGCAGGGAAGGGAATTCCCGGGGCAGAAGGGTAGAGGTGAAAGACCTAGGCCAGGGGGGACAGAGGCAGGGTCAGGCTGGGGCAGCTATATTGTTACAACTATATTGTTAGCTACATTGTTGCTAAGTATCCAGGTTTGTTATCCCCTTGTAACCTCCGGAAGGGCAAGACTCCTGCAGCATAGGTCACCGGATAAGAACTGGATGCTTAATGTCTTTGCCATGAGCACTTCACTTGTCCCAGAAACCTATGAAGGGCTTGGGGAGGTGGCTCAATGGGTCACGTGACCATTGTGTAAGCATGAGGACCTGGCTTCAGATCCCCAGCCCCACATAAAAGCACGGTACAGGGGTGTGTATATGCCCTGCTTCTGAGGGCACAGCCTGGCGAATCCCTGGAGTTCATTCATGAGTTTTAGGCTCAGGGAGACACCTTTCCTCAAAAAACAAAACAATACACTCAATTATACACCCTTACCCTTACACACATGTGTATACACTCACACACACACACACGCACACACACACAAATCAATGTGCCATCTCTCTCCCCATTTCTCAGAGTGAAAACGAGACACACCAAGAGTGGAAGTTCCTGTTTAGTTATACCACTCTCCTGAGTGAGGACAGCTCAGGGACGCAAGCCCAGCAAACTGTCCTTTGATGGCCTGGGACACAACTGAATGAAGGAACACTTGCCTCGTCCACAGGCCAGTACATGGCTGGTCACAGAAAGGAAGGAGTGGAGGGTCCACGAATGCCCGTGATCCCAGGAGCCTCCTGCAGATGCAGCCACCCCTGTCCCCATAGCTCCTGTAGGACAGATTGCCCCAGATTCCAAGCCTGGTTCAAATCCGTGCACCAGTGGGAGACTGCCTTTACTCATGCTACGGATCAACCTGAAGGCGTGCCTGCCCTACAAAGAAAATCCCTCCTGACGGCTTTGAGGTAATTACCATAAAGTAAAACCCCCCGTTGATCACAGACTGTAATAGGGAGGACAGCCACTCTGCACTGCGGTGCCTGGCTAATTAATGGCATTCTACTCATCAAGGACCGAAGCATTCAGTGAAATGGATATTGCCCCCATCTTTCCGGTAAGTCTCCTACTTTCACCCTCACACCCCCTCCCTTAGGGCCTGAGAGCCCCAGCAGCCTCCTCGCCTGCCTCCTTGCCTCCACTCTTCCCTCCAGTCTCCTTCACGGAGGCAGCTCTGCTTGGAGCCCTCTTGTCCAAACACTCCTATGCTATACAGAGTCCACAGCACAAAGCCCAAAAAAATATTTGTTTTGTCCCAGAGCTGAAGGCCTGCTATGACACCCCCTCCCTCTGCCCTTCCAGTCTGATTTTTCAACTCTTTGGCTCCAACCATGTGGAAATGGGCTGCTGGGTCTCTGCATGTGGGAATGGGCTGATGGTTCCTCTACAGGGAAGACACTTGGACTAGTATGGTTAGTCCTTCCTCATTTCTCAAAGCCCAGTTTAGGTCACCTCCCCTGAGGGGCCCTCCCTGATGCCTTCTCCATCTGTATAGGGCAAAGGAATGCTTTCCCGGAGCCAAATTTCAGCAGTTCTACCAATCCCCAAGCACAGGAATTCATATGGAAGGTCGGGTGTTGCCACTAGAGGATACTCGGTATGGTAGAGCTAGCTAAGCCATTAGTACTGGCAGCAACACTCAGCCACTGCAATGCACTGACTCTTAACAAGGAACTTTCGAGGCTTTGATGAAGAACCTCATCTCTGTACTGGCCCTAGTAGATATCTCTATTTGTATGTGAGTAAGGCCCAGGGTATTATCCTGGCACCGGAACCCTAGGAGAAGCCTATCTAGAAGCCAAGAAGTAATCTATCTATCCATAAGATGTGATCCTGTTTCTGCCTGTTTGTTTGTGAGATGTCTCCACAGCCACACTAGTGGAGCTAACACGCTGAACTAGGGCCAGGAATGTGTTCCTAATCACCCCACACTCTGTAGAGCCCTTCCTTGAGGGGAACCTCAGAGAAGTGGATTTCCAATGCCTGAATAATACATCAGCGGGTAGTTCTGAACCAGCCCTGAATCTGGTTCTTTAGAACCTCAGCCATCAACCAGCCAGCCTGCTGCCAGAAGATAACCCAATAGAGCCTGAAAATGGACTAATGAGGTCCAATCTGTCAGATCTGACTAGCAGATGTCCTGCCGGAAGAAACAGGAGAGATACTGTAAACTATGGGAACAGTTTTGTTTGTTTTTGTTGTTGGTTTTTTTGTTGTTGTTTTTTTTGTTTTGTTTTTTTGAGACAGGGTTTCTCTGCATAGCCCTGGCTGTCCTGGAACTCACTCTGTAGACCAGGCTGGCCTCAAACTCAGAAATCTGCCTGCCTCTGCCTCCCAAGTGCTGGGATTAAAGGTGTGCGCCACCACTGCTCTGCGGGAACAGTTTTATTTAAGACAGAATCAGGTATGCCGGGGCATAGTTGTCACCTTCGACAGTACGGTGTGAGCCCAGTCCCTCAGCTGAGGAACCTCAGCACAAAGGCTAAGCTTCTGGTGTTAACCCAGGCATTTCACTGCGGGGAGGACAAAACCGTTTGTCATAGCCCATGTCCACAGGACCCTCTATCAAGAAAAAAAAGGAAACTGCTCACCTTGGCCAGAAAGGAAATCAAAAATAAAGAAACTGTAGCCCTACTAGCAGCCATGTGGCTGCCAAAAAAGTAGCCATTAACAACTGTGAAGGACATCAAAAGGGGGGATTCTTCAGAAGCTCAAGGGAGCAGGGCAGCAGACTTGGTGTCCAGAAGGTGACCCTAGAGCCAGTGGGGGCTCTCCAGGTCTTGGTTAACCTGCCTGAACCCAAATTTCTCCCGTACCCAAACAACATCCAGGAAGAAATGCAATAGGGAAAGAGAGAAGACACCAAACAGGATGCAGATGGTTGGTGGTTCTTGCCAAACAGGAGACCTGTACTCTGTACTCTCTGGTGATCAGGAGACAAATGCTCACCAAACCCCACCAGGCCACCCTCCTGGGAGCATCCAAAACTGTTGAGGCCCAGATATTATAGTCTCCAACTAGACAATCTTGTCAAACCCGCTGTGTCTAGAAGTACTACTTGTGCCCACATGAACCCTAAAGGAGGAAGAAAAACCCCAAAGGAATCCATGCCCGAGGAAGCACCCCCAGAGAACACTGGAAAGCAGATTTTTATGAAACCCATGGTTCATGGGTATAAGTATTAGCTTTCACAGATGCCTTCTCTGGATGGGTAGAAGCATATCCTACTTGAACAGAGACAGCCTAAGTGGTCAAGAAGAAACTTTTCAAAGAATTGATTGCTAGGTTTGGATTGCCCCTCTCACTGGGGTCTGACCAATAGCCTACAGCCTTCACAGCCCAAGTTTCTAAAATCTGACATAGGTCCTAAATGTTAATTGGAAACTACATTGTACCTATAGGTGACAAAACTTAGGGCAGGTAGGAAGGATGAATAGGACCTTGAAGGAAACTAACTAAATATGTCCTTGAGACTGGCAAACATTGAACCAACCTCCAGCATTTGCCCTCCTAAAGACCACACCTTACTGAGATTTCACCCATTTGGAATTGTGTTTGGGAGGCCTTTCCCATTTCCTCCCTAAGCTAAGGTGGGGATTACTAACCAGTCCCTCCTCAAGTCCTTACAAGTCCCTGCATCAAGTCCAGAGACTATTCATCAGACGGTCCAAGAGGCCACCTCCTTGCCCATCTGTGAGTCTGCCCACAAGTTCCAGCCTGTTGACCTTGTGTGGGTAAAGAGGATCCTGACCTAGAGCCTAGAGCCAACATGGAAACACCCATACCCTATGATCCTCACCACCCCTACAGAAGTGGAAGTTGCCAGTGCCATCCCATGAATCTACTACACCCAGCTGAGGGAGGCTACAGGGGACAAAGATAGACAAGTTGTCATCGGGTCCTCCGACCCACTAAAGATAATACTGACATGGGCCCCATGTCTACGATCATTCTATTGTGTTTTCTTTGTCCCTCTGTGGGAAATGTCCCAACCCCCTTCGCGTATGGGAATTAAGGAATTCCTGTACTGGGGAGCTCATAACCAGTCTAATCCACTGAGACCAATGTACCTTCCAGGTAGATTTCTGTAAAATACCACAACCAGAGGCAACTGGGAAAGGATGCTGCAAAGGAGTGTGCTCCTGGGGCTGCAGGTCCACTTTTGAGGAGACAGAGCTCCAGCCAACCCAATACTATGTCTGCTCCGCTGACTCCCCCAGACTGCTAAGGGTCAAGCCAATAGCATTGTATTCAGTAGGATTGTGAAACCAAGTCTTTCTAGGGGTACACGTGGCTCTAGAGACAAAACCATCACAATCTACCTGTAATTTCACTAGTCTTGGCCAACACAGTCCCATAGCCAGAAAGGTTAGGCCCTGGCAGGAAACTGAAGGTCCTTATTGGGATACCAGCAGAACCCAGGGAGTCAGGCTATATGTGAGTGGTTGAGACCCAGGCTGCAGATGACCTAGGGTCATCTGGCCCATCTGCCCAAACTGGTCCATCTTGGTAATATGAGCTCTCTACAGTGCCAAGCACCAAATCCACTATCCCCTTTGGGAACCATGAAGGGTAAAGGTCCAGGAATTAGAGGAAGCCAGTCCTTCAGTGTTTTGGATGCTAGAAGGGGTGTATCCGTTCCTGAACTGCTTCTCTACCAGACATAGGTAAAGATTGCTGACTATGCCTGGGTCCCAAACCCCCATACTATGTTGGGATTATCAACCAATACGTTCCACTTCCGATTCCGAAAACTGTAAATGGAACCATCCTAAGTTCACCCTCGGAGTCGTCCAAGGAAAGAGCACCTGTTTAATGTTACTAAGAAGGCTTCTAGGTTGTTCCCCGCCATGCAGATTCCTGTAGCCATACACAGCAGATTAACTCCAAGATCGTCAGCCAGAATGTCTCCAGGCCCCAGACACTGCTTGGCTCACTTGCACTGAAACCTTAACCATGTGTGCATCTTCTGAATTGTCTGCACTGGAGGAGACATCACTCCTTGGAGTCCTCATGTGTGTCAAACCACAGGTGATTGTCTATAATGAAAAACTGCCCAGGCCCGCCTACATGGTGGGCTGCTCTGTGCGCGGCGAGCGGGCTATCCCTATTCTCACTCCCCTATCCCTAGGGGCAGGCATCACAGGCTCTGCCACAATTAGAACTTCAGCCCTAGTTGTGGGGGATAAAAAAAAATTTAAGAAACTCTGTACTCGAGTAAACATAGACCTAGGCCATCTGGAGAATTCTACTTCCCATCTGGAAGCCCAGGTAGATTCCTTAGCAGAGGTTTTTCTTCATGAAATGAGATGTTTCTGTGTGGCGCTGGGAGAAACCTGTTGCTTCTATGCCAACCAGTCAGGGGTAATTAGAGAATGTTTAGCCATAGCCAGAAATAACACTGAGAAAGAGAAAAGAGGTGCCAAGAATCTAACCAGTGGTATCAATCCTTGCTCTCCTGGGCACACTGGATAAATACTCTACTTATGGCCATTGCTGGGCCATTGCTCCTTCTGTTCCTAACCCTGACTATAAGACCCTGCTTGTTCAGCTGCCTACTTAGCTATGCAAACCAAAGAATAAGTACTGGGGGGACAATGTAACTCCCTGCCCCAAGATGACTCCACAATTTGACCCATGCCCATAGAAACAGTAAGGAATGTCACAGGCTCCCAAACCTTAGCACAGTGAGACCACATTAAAGGCACCATTCTGACCTTAAAACCCAGCATGTGTGCCCCAACACTTACCAAAGACCTAATCCATCAAAGACCTGATCCTGAGTTCCAGGGAAGTCCCTAGATGTACTAATCTTGCTTTTTTTGGCTTCTGAGTTCCGTTTCTTGCTAACTGACATGTGTCAACAAGATGTGGTTTTGTCCATTAAAAAAAAAAAAAGACAGAAACAAAAACAAAAAACCAAGAACCATAAGACTCAGGGCTGTATGATTTGGGCATGTTTCCCCATGCAATCACCAGCCAGCAATAAAGACTTTAAGAGTGTCTGTGTGGTAGTCTCTGGTGGCCTTACCTTGCAACACTGGAAAGCTCACACCAAACTCAAGAATAGAACTTACTGGTGTCCTCGGTGGAGGTTCCCAGGAGAATCTACTCTACCTCCCTCTTCCCTGTGTGCTGTGTGTATGCCTTTGATTTTTATGAAGCATAAAATTCCACATATGAATCACAATGAGTGTGAATGAGTGCAAGGCTCAGCTCAGCATAGCACTCAGACATGGCTGGGTGAGGGAGGGGGCACTAACACTGCCCAAGTATTAGAAAGATGAAAAATACCCACCTCTGTGAGCCAGACCCCAGCACACCTTCCACTGACCAGGGACACGGTCCTACCTAATTAGTGTCCTCCTACTCAGACTTGCGCTTCCCCTCCTGGAAGTCTGCATGGAAACCTCACCGTCCATCACATAACAACTGACCATCAAGCCACTTTTCCAGGTCCAGCTGAAAAGTCACCTTCCCTAAATTCCCAGGAAGTGATCTGCGCCCCCTCCCTCCCTGGAGCATAACAAGGCATCTTCCTACAGGACCCTGAAGTGGTTATCTCCCCACCAGCCTGGTGACTCCCCAAAGAGCTGCATATGTCCTCAGCTCATAGGCTGGATGCAGAGTGAATACTGGTGACCATGTTTTCAGTTCCCAAAGACAAGCAGGAGAGGTTCAAACAACTTCCCAGGTAAGAGACTGTCCTGGGTTTTGGCAGGTCAGGGACTAAGGAAAATTGCAGCTTACATCCCCCGGGGTCCAGCCCCACACAATGAACCCTACATTTTAAGACTGGACCCCAGAAGGAGGTGGCTCTTACCTGAGGCAGAGCCTGTACCACCGTGTCCAGCAGGGCTCGCATTCCTGTGGCCATCTTCAACAGTTTCAACACTGTGGGAGACATCAGCCCCAGCTGTCAATCCAGGCTATGGATGTGTACACGTGAGTGTGTACATGCATGTGTATGAACTCAGAGATGAGGGGGAATAGAGAGCAGGGTGTGGTCAGAGTTCCCTCTTGGATACTACATAAGATTATGGCTCCAGGGTCTGGAGGGATGGCCCAGTAGTTAAAAGCACTAGCTGTTCTTCCAGAAGTCCTGAGTTCAATCCCATAACTCACATGGCGGCCCACAACTGTCTATAACCATAGTCCTACAAGACCTATTGCCCTTTTTGGGTGTGCAGGGAACATGCAGACAAAATACCCATTTATATGAAATACCTTAACATTTTTTAAACAAGAATATGGCTACAGCTGCAGAGTGAGGGTCATGTGCACAAAATAGAATGCAGAGTGGGTTCATAGGCGCTCGAGATCACAGAACATGTACAGTGGAGTGAGGGGAAGCAAAGATGGCCGACACAAGGGTCCACATCTTCTCCCATCCCCTAGGGCTTAAAAGGACTCTGGTGTCATCCACAGAGTGTCTGCATAGCTCTCCCTCCTTAGAACATGGAGGCAACAGGCAGGAGGAATAGGAGGCAAGAGGCAAGAAGCACCCCACCATCACTGTGGCGGTAAGATTTTGAGTAGGAAAAACTTTGGGATGAGAGAAGGGCTTCTGGGGGAGGAAAGGGAGATTGTCAGACATTTTGAGGACTGTGTCCCTACTGCAGTGCTAAAGAAAGGCCAGGTAGCACACAAAGCCGGAACTGGGTCCTTGTGGCACATCCTGAGACTGGACCACACAGATTATGCTGCCATGAGGAAGCAGAGGCAGGTCTACACAAGCATGGGGAGGGGGGCAGCTGGGCACACAGGAGGCTGTGCACACACAGGGTGACACGTGGTCTTCGTTTGAATCCTGCTCTGCCCTACTCAGGAGAGTCCCTCTTGCTCGAATGTTCCACATCTCCCACCCACTCCACTCCTACATGCTCTCCCGTAGGCAACAGAGAGTCCCCTCCCCACTCCTGCTTGTCTCTACTCAGCCTGTGTCCTACTTACCCCGGGCGATACGTAGGACACGCATAATACGGATGATGGTAGGATTGATGGGCAGGGCGGCATTGATCTCGATCTCCTCCAGTGTAATGCCCATGACAGACAGCAGCACAATGGCCAGATCCAGCTGGTTCCATCTGTACAGCAGGGAAGTTGAGGCAGGAGTAGGAATTGAGGTTGGGGGTGGGGGTGGGGAACATAGTGGCTCAGACACACTTGAGTGGAAGGCAGACTCCCAGTGCTTCACACTCCTGTGGGGCCCACTAGAATGTGTAAATACCCTTCCTTCTACCCATCCTCTCTGGTGTCAGTGAGTCTGGCCTTTTTCCCCCCTCTACAGGGAGCTGCTCAAGCTGAAGAAACATTGCTGGCCTCCTGTAGGAGAGAAGGCATGGACTCTGACTTCTAAGTCTAAATCCTAAACTATCTGATCCCTTCCGGTAGCATTTGGCCAGTCTGTCAAGCTCTCTAAGCCTCAGTTGCTTTCTCTGAAAAGTAAAGTTAGCATGAGCCAGGGCAGACCATGTTCTGTCTTCAGGTTACAGAGGACCCACAGGAGATGAACTAAAACAGCCTGAATACATTCATTGAGACTTAATCACTTCCTGCCTAGGAATATAGTCAACAGCTAGAACACCTTGATGATCAATATCCAGATGTTACTGGCTCCTTTAGGCTGCTTCAAAGATCAAGACTTCTTCCCAACCTTGCTGCCCTAGTATGACCCAGCCACTCACCGGTCCTTGAAGAAACGCCTCAGGCCAAATGCTACCAGCTTCAGCACAGCCTCCAGCACAAAGACAGTGGTGAACATGTAGTTGCAGTACTTGAGGGCTGTCTCTAGGGACTACAGGGGCAAAGAGAAGCATGGTCCAGTACTATTATCTGCCCCAGAACCTTCCTACAACCAGAGTCTCTGCCTTTTGGGGAGAGTTTAGTCCATTTACATTTAGTATAATGCTTTGTTACTTTTTATCTATTTATATTCCTTTTCATTCCTTATGACTTCATGTGTGATAGTCAATTCACATTGTTATTTCCTTATTTGTGCTAGCCTGACCCAGTTGCTCCTCTTCAGAGACAGAATGAGGTAGTGGCTAAGGATCCCTAAACCATATTTCATAGATTTGAATACCGCTTAACCTTTGCTCCCTATCTGGTTTGTGACCTGGGAAAGTGCTTGACCTTTCTGAGACTTAGTTTCTTTGACTAAAATTTTTATAAAACAATCCCTCCTGCCTATCAGAAAGCTGCTCTGGTAATTAAATGAGGTATTCTAAGCACCAGACAAATAATTGGTACTTGTAGACTGTAATAATCCCATTTCCTCACATTAATTTGGAAATTCTATAATTACTGTTCATTCTGCCATGGTTCCTTTTCTTTTCACTTCATAATCGTCTTCTCTGTCCACTGAAATAAGATGCTAATTTCTCACCTGGAGGCTTGGCACCACCCTTCCTGTCGACTCTGCCAAGTAGAGTCTTTTAGAAAGCACCTGCCTCTCACAAGCTTCTGCTGCATGCTATCTGGCATCTATTCCAAGGATGCTTGCCCTGGGCCTGCTCCCCCAGAAAGTCAGGATACTCGGTGGGCAGTGGAAGCCCCAGTAAACTTTGAACACAAATCCAAGCTCCAATTCTGACTCTGATGCTAATCCTCTTCATCTGGAAAGCTCGACCAAGGCTCTCCCAACATCGACTTTACAGTGAGGATTAACGCATGCATCATGTCCTGCAGCATCCATGTTAACACGCCTCAGCCACTGCTACTCATGCTGTAGGCTGCTCACAAATGCCACCTCCTCATAGTCCCGGAAAGAGAGACCCTTTACTTTCAAGCTTCTAACTACCAGCTGCCCTGCACCTCTTCCCCACAAGTCCTGGCCTAAGCCCATCAGAGAGACTTCATGGATGCTGGCCCTCTACTCGACCCTGTACCTGAGGTGGGATCCTGCTAAAAGCTGGTCCTCCCCATGTGACCTTAGACTAGACAGTGACCCCAAGACTCACTGGAGGCTGGTTGTAGTGCTCCAGGGACATGGTGACCACATTGAGGCAGATGATGAAGGTGATGAAGATGTCCAGGTAGTGGCTGGTGCACATGGAGTGGATAAGCAGCCTTGTGGGACAGTAGGTGGCATAGTAGGGCAGCCTCTGAGCCTCTGTAGGGAGCATGGTAGAGTAGCATAGACCATACAGGATTGGACCAAGCAAAGAGAAGAGCACAAAGGAGAGAGAAGCCATGGGTAAGGAGAAAGGAAGAGAGGAGCATGCTGGCCCATACCGGGTCCTGGATGAGAGTGTTCCTCTCCCAGTGCTAGGACACTGTGAGGAAAACCCTGAGATATCGGTGGTAGGAAGCAGGATGTTAGGACACACATTATTCTCAAACACTCCCTAAAGAGGTCCATGACAAGGACTCTAGGTCTGATAGGCAGAGACAGGGGTCCTGAGGCTGACCATCCAGAGGTGGATGGCTGACCCCAAAACTGCAAACATCTTTCACAAGGAAGAACATGAGGGGCAGGTATGTTCTAAAAGTTCCCACTGATTGGTGCCCACAGGAAAGACTGCCTTTGTCTCTGTCTGCACCAAAGTACCTGGGCTTTACCCAGGGTGGCCAGTGGTATCACTACTGATGGTCCCTGGTCACCTGGACAAGTAGACGCTGGGGAAAGGGGCTGGGCCATGGGCAATGGATGGATTAAATCTTTTGCTCTCTTCCAGTTCCAAAGACCCAGTGGGCCTGGATCAGACCTGCCCCAGGGCACTGCCCAGGAGGCACAGTGGTGGGTAGAGACCCTGCCCGTCCCAGCATCCACCATCTGCTCACTACGGCGCTTCTTTTCCAGGCGCCGTAGCCGTTTCTCCTCACGCCTCCGCGCCTCCTCAGCCTCTTGGTGCTGCCGGCACTTGTGAAAGTTCTCCACGACCACACCCACAAACATGTTGAGCACAAAGAAGCTGACGATGAGCAGGAAAGAGATGAAGTAGAGCAGCATCCAGGGGTTGTGGTTCGTCACCGGCTGCAGGGGAGGCAGAGTGAGGGCTGAGGATCTATACAGCAAGGTCACAGGCATTTGATCTCACCAAGCCTTGTGTAATGGCGGAGTTAGGACAGCCTGCCTCTGAAGCCTAAGGTGGAAACAGCACAGCAAATGGGAATGGTCTAGCCTGGGCAATATGGGAACTGTCTAGCCTGGAGCTGACACAAGTAAGGAGGTCAGCTTTACTTCCCTGCCCTCTCCTTTCCTGCTCCTGTGGTTGTCTCCTGCACACATTGGTCTGCTGTCTTTTCAGTGACTTACCCTTCATTCACCCACGCAAGCATCCATCTATTCACCATCTACCAAAACCATCTATCACCCATCCACCCATCCATCTATCCACTCACTCACCCATCCACCCATCCATCTACCCACTCACTCACCCATCCACCCATCCATCTACCCACTCACTCACCCATCCACCCATCCATCTACCCACTCACTCACCCATCCATCTACCCACTCACTCACCCATCCATCCACCCATCTGTCCAACCTATTTATATCTACCTATCAGCCCACCCACTCATCAATTTAGCCACCTCCATCCATAAACCCTATCATCTACCCACCCACCCATTCATCTATCTATCTATCTATCTATCTATCATCTATTTATCATCCATCAATATATCCATTCACCCACTCATAAACTCATCTATGCACCTGTCCACTTATCTGTCTACCTTCCCACCCACACTCATACTTATATATTCACCCATCCACCTACCCACCTGACGACTTGTCCATCTGTCTGTCCGTCCATCTACCTAGCCTTCCATCTACTCAACCTGCCACCCAGCCACCCGCCCATCTACGTATCCATCTACCCATACTCATCCACACGTCTACCATCCACTAAACCTGCTGCTCATCTACACTCCCATTTAATCATCCACCCCGAAACAAAGCAGCAGAAACCTGGTCAGTGACCAGGAGGCAGCCAAGCTCTGAAGAGTTGGTGGAGCCCATTCCTAGGAATGGGGGACAGGCAAACAAGGAGTAGAGAAACTCGTATAAGAGTACTCATCACCCCGACCCTCCTCAGCTCCCCCTTAGCTCCAGATCAAAGTAGGTTGGCTCTAAGAGACCGAGAACCAGAGGTGAGCTCCAGGTCCCTTCCCACCATCTTCTTCTGCTATGGCCCCAGTCATGCCCACCTGCTGGTCCACGGCCACAGCATCCAATCCATTGTACATGATGTTTACCCAGCCATCCTTGGAGGCCAAGACAAAGAGGGACATCAAAGCCTGGAAGATAAAAGAAGAAGGTTGGGGTAAGAGATGTGGACTCCTCAGCCCTCCATTGTTCCGCCTCTAGGAAACCAGGATGGAGAGCTCATCCTGAGTAGTCAAGCTGATGAGGCCTTGCTGAGGACCTACTGTGTGCCTGTTGTAAGTCCTGGGGCTGCTATCATAGGGGTGGAAGGGGAACTGAAGGCAGAGTCCTGAGTTACCATCTTAGTTCTAGCAGTAACTGTCTGAAAGATGTCTGTCCATCGAGAAGGCCCATGAGTTCCCATGCCCTGACCCAGGAGCCCTGGGTCTCCACCCAGCCCCTGCTGTTAACTCACATGTGAGAGTGTGGACCTGTGAGTAAGCATCAGGAAATCTACCACCAGCCACTAGCGAGGGGCCACCGGCCTGGACCCTGCTTCTTCTTGCATCAAACCCTGGGGTATACCCTCTCTACAAACAGCTGCCTGGAGGGTGTTGTGGGGATAGGGAAGGGAGGCTCTTTGGAGGCAGCTCATAGGAGACTGGATCAAAGGCAAAGTAGGAACCTGAATGCTGACTGAAGTGTTAGTAAAGAGAAGCCACCAGGCCAAGGCCTCCTTCCCCGAGACTAGTCATTAGTTCAGCTTGCCTATGGGGCTGTCATATTCCCATTTGACAGAGGAAGAAACTGAGACTTAAAGAGAACACCTCAATCAAAAAAAAAAAAGTTGGGGTATACACCCAAGTGTAGATGGCTCTCAAACTCCCATTACTGTCCTTGGGTGGGAAGTCAGAACCAGTATTTGTGAAGTACCTGTTAAGTTTTATGTGCTGGCAGACTCTGCACCCAGGGTCCCAGCCTTACTTCTCCTGTGAGCAGAGTTCCACCCAGCCCCACTTTGCAGGATGGGACCCATCAGTTCTGACAGAGCAGGACTGTAGCCAGGTTTGTGACCCTTGTGACCCTGGAAGGGCTCACCTGACCCAGGTTATCAAAGTTGTATTTGTGATGCACCCAGCGGTAGTTGGCGGCCACGCAGTCAGATCTGTTGGTGATGTTTCGGGTGTCCACTCCCAAACAGTGATAGAACTTGCCTTTGAAAAGCTGTGGGAAAGGAGGGAAAGGCAGTGCTCAGGGTAAAGGGGGGACACAATCAGAGGAGGGAAGCTCCAGGAATCGGTCCACACGACCTGCCCCTTGCTCTGTTGACCCAGGTTGAGTCTGCCTTCCTCACATGGCTCCACCAAGGCCACCCCCGGTCCCCAGGTTAGTGCACTCAGGTGGGTTGCAGTAGGCATGAATAGGCTGTGCTCAGCTTCTTGTCACCCTGCAGAGTGGGCATCCCTCACCTGCACCCCCAGGATGCCAAAGATGATGAAGAAGGCGCAGCAGATGAGGACGATGTTCCCGATGGGCTTGAGGGAGGAGATGAGCGTCTCTACCACCAGCTTCAGCCCAGGGGCCCGGCTGATGACCCTGCAGGCAGGCAAGGAAGGCCAGGGTACCGTGAGCCACAGCTGACAGAGGGACAGCCCCAACTCAACCCACGGTCACCAGGCGTGGGAGAGGGGGAAGGTTCCAGCAGGAATGAAGATGCCGTAGCCAGGTTTGCTAGGACAGGAGCTAAGCACCAATCTCTACCTAGATCAATACACAGAAGGGCACTTGACCCTCTCAACCAATCCCCGCAGAGTGCAGCCCACACCCAAGAGATGGTACCCAGAGATGGCAGTGAGCTACCCCAGAACACAGAGGAGGGAATGTAGTGGACGCCATTTTCCCCTAGGCTCTTGGGCTTCTCCTCCCTGCAGCAAGGTATGCTTGGCACAATGCTTTGGGGAGCCTGTATTGTTGAGCCAGACTGAAAACCCACTTGGGAAATAGCCCTATTCAGTGTATCAATATGTGTCTCCCACTCCATCACCATGTACTGGGGCAGGGTCCACACCTCAAAGGACGTAAGGTACGCAGGAGCCGCAGGACCCGGAGGACTCCCAGAATCTTGGCTCCCCCCGCAGAGGCCACGGATACTACGATATCGATGATGGACACAAAGACCAGGAAACCATCCAGTACGTTCCAGCTGCTACGCAAGTACGCCTGCTCACCGAAGTACAGGCCCAGAGAAACCACCTGGGGGTGGGGTTATGGGTCAAGCCTTGGGAGGGGGATGGGGCCAGAAGACTCCCCTCTCCCCAGGGACAGGACAAAGGGAGGTAAGGAGGTGATGGATGAGGTATGGCTCACAATGGTTTTTCTGAGGGCTAGTGATAGGCAGGAAGGAACAGAGTCTGGGCCCAGGGAAGTCTGCAAGCTATGGTCTCATAGCATGACCATGAGACCTCAACCCAGAGCCACCCATACTGGGAAGCATCCCAGGGCAATGTTTCTAACCAACTGTGCCTTTCTGGTTGGACTTGGTGATAAGAGGGGGCCACTGATCTCTAGTCCCAGAAGCTCGACCCAGGGTCTAGAGCCCAACAGGAGTGGACCTCTGGGACCTATGGAATATGCCTGAGGGCCAGGCCAGCAGGGAAGGTGAGGTCTAGGCCAGGGGCTCCAGGTGGGGATGGGAAAGATCCTGGTGGAGCCCAGAACAACCTTCAGTGTCATCTCGCCCACGAAGATGGCTGTGAAGATGTAGTTAGACACCGTGAGGAAGATGCGCTCCTGAAAGAGTGAGAGAAACCATGAGTCCAAGACTTCCACATCTGCCCGCATGCCTTATCAGCCTCTGCTTCACCCAGGGGCACCCACTATGGCCACCATTTCTCAGATCTAGCGGCCTTCCCCTCCCACAGGCAAGCGCTCTGCTCTACCCCCACCTCCTGCATGCTAAGTGTTAGCCTTGGCTGAGCTCTCCCTGGGCTCCCCCACCGTTGTTACTATCTGGCTCTCTGCCCAGCCCCAGGGCTGCAGTCACTCACAGTGCTACCAGCTTCAATCTGGGGCCTCTCCAGAGCGATGGTGATACAGTTGAGGAAGATGAAGGCCAAGACCACGTAGTCAAAAAGCTTGTGAGCAATGATGGTCTGACACAGGATCCGGAACCTGAGTGGAAGTCAAGGAACCCCCAGGAGGGTCAGTTGGCTTCCCACTCTGACCAGAAGGAAGACAAGACCACGATACACACTCGGGGACCAGAATGGCTTAAAGGAAGGGATCCCTCTCCCTTCCTGTAGCCACTCAACATCTGCCTAAGGTGTCTAACTGGAGCCTCCTTCCCAACCATACACCTAGGTAATGAGGTCAACAATCTGCCTTCAACACCAACCCCAAGGCGTCATCCTAGAAGCCTTCTGATGGAAAAGACTCCATCTGAGACTTCAGGCTGCCTGTGGATCTGTCCAGCCTTGTTGCCAGCACAGGGCTGGCAAAAAGAGAGAGAGAGAGAGAGAGAGAGAGAGAGAGAGAGAGAGAGAGAGAGAGAGAGAGAGAGAGAGAGAGAGAGAGGCTCAAGGAAGCCCTAGAGGGATGGCTAGACTCACCTCTTCCCTTGGAGACCCTCCTTCCTCTCTCTGTCATATGAAGGTGTCCTGCCCAGCTTGGTAGAGAAGTTTCCCTCCCAGACAGATCACCCTCCTCCTCTCTGGCCCTCACTCCCAGACAGCCACTACTCACTTGTTCTCGGGGGAGAAGAGGTAGACCGACCAGTCCTCGCGGACTTCGCACCAGTCCGGCTTGTACACATCAATCATCTTGCGGACGCGGAAACACAGGGTCTGGCAAGGCAAGGAACTGGGTCCTGGGGTTGGTGCTGCGCAAAGAGGCCCATCTCTTCCCACTCTGCCAGCCAACAAACTGGGGGCACTGGATGAACTCTGACCTCTCTCCCAGCCCCCAACAAGGAAGGATTGGTGGCAGAGTAAGTCAGATGTGGACAGTTCTGGCCCCACCTTCAGCCCCGCCCACCACGCCTGGACCACCCAAAGCCAAATCCCTTAGATCCGCCTCTTTCAGCCCTATAAACTGCTTTTACAAGGGCAGCTTCTTGGGTGTCCCAACCAGTCCCTACTCACGTAGTCGATCTCCTCCTCATCCTCCCCACGGTCACGGCGGTCGTCCATCTTGGTGAAGACATCCTTGGCTATGTTGGGCATTCTGCCATTGCAGTCCTCATGACCAGGGGCCTGGACTGCCGCCCTCCAAGCTCCCCGCGAGTGGGCACCCACCACGGGCACCAACTCTACCAGGTCAACAGAGTCCCTGGTATCGAGGGACAGAGTCCTGCGGTGGTGGCGGTGACGGTGCGCCAGGTGGGGTCCATGGTGCGTGTGGTGGGTGTGTGGGGCATGCAGGGGTGCGCCGCGAGGTGGCGCCTCCTCCCGGGCGCCTTCACAGGCCCTGACACAGCTACCACCACGTTCCCCGGAGAGCAGGGACTCATGCTCAGCTGAGGGTGGCTTGTGTTTCAGGCTGTTCCAGCTGGAGCGGCGGCTGGCCCAGGTCCCGCTGCGGCCCCAGGGCCCATAGTAGGAGCTCCGGGAGCTGGACTGCGGAAAGACCCGGAGTTGGATCAGCAACCACCCACACCATAATCTAACACCAAGACCCAGACATCCTGAACGCCATGCTAGAGGGAGCCCACCCGTTCTGATGTATGACTCAGACTAAAGCCCCCTTCTTCTCTTGAGAAAAGCATATGGCAAATAAGGGTCAGCTTTACATGTAAAGAAACTGAGGCTCGGAGATAGGTGGTAATTTGATCGCTTTTACACAGCTTAGAGGTGGCAGAGGCCAGATTAAAGCTCTAGTTGGCCCTACCCCCAAAGTCTATACACTGTTACCAAGATGAAATCCCAGGTCTCTCCTCCAGACCCCACCCTTGCATTCCAGCTATAAAGACTTGTTCTAGCCCAGAGCACCCAGGATTGTCATTAACACAGACCCTGGCTGGTTCATACTAGATAGGGTGGTACCCTCGACAGGGCACCTGGTGTCACAGACCTTTGGTGCCCCCCACCTCCAGCAGCAGGCATCCATCACAGGACTCACCAAGGACCGCTGATCATAGCTCATCCTGCCCAGTGACATGACACTGCTTTTCCGGGAGTCTAGGGCCACCAGTACCGGGTCTGGCTGCAGTGAGAGGCGGGGGGCAGTACCCATGGCCCCAGTAGGACCCAGATGCCCACCCAGAGGGAGGCTAGGGTCCAGGTGTCCATTGGGTGTCATGGGTATTGGGCAGAGCTTGAGATCTGGAGGTGTGAGATGAAGACGACAGACAGACAGACAGTCAGACAGACAGACGAGCAGAGGAAGCCATGACAAAATCAGAAGTGGTTCTATACAGATGGAGAGTTCTTCTGGTGAGAGGTCCTCCACCAGGAAATCCTGGAGGTTGGCACCTACTTCATGTTCCCTCTTCCTTCCTGCCTAAAAGGCTGTTCTTTACCTTTCCATGACCCTTCCCTTCTGTTCTGGGACCAGCCTAGACCTCCACCATGCTGGAGTACCTCAACCCCCATGCTCACAGGAAGGGACTGTCCTCTTGGGTTACCATGGATACTAGGCTTGGTTGGAAAAGGCTACCTAGTGGTATCAGACATGACCTGAACACTGGCCATACCAAAGACACTGTGGCTCTAACTCAGAGCCCCATGTAGAAAGGGAAGCAGAAGGGTTTCTAGGGGAACTCAGGAGGTCCATGATTGCCTGTTTCTGAGACCAAGCATCTCTTTCAGATATAATTGCTTAAAAACAAAACAAAGAAACAGATAAGTAGCAGTCCCTGAGTCCCTGGGCCTAGGCTTCATGGGGAAGCCGCTGTGCCATCTGGGAATCTACAGGGAGTCCCTGACCCTGAGTGGAAAGCACAGGTGTGTTTACCTCTGCTGTTGTCCAGGCCCTCTGGGAGCTTGTCAAACTCCTCCAAGTTGGATGAGCTCTGGTCCTCATCAGAGTAGGAGCGATTAGCATCACCCTGGGAGATCAGTTCACATTAGAACAGGTCAGCTCTGCCTTTTCCCAGCCTACCCTTGGGATTTCTCTATGGCCCTTCCTATCCTCCTTTTACAGGCGGGGAAACTAGATTAGAACAGGGATGTGAGAGGCTAGTGAGGCCACAATACCCAGTCTCCCTGATTTCCAGCACTCTTCAAAGCCCAACAGTATAGAGGAAGAAGCAGGCTCTGGAAACTCAGATCTTGGAGGCTTTAGAATCTGAGGTAGAAAAGGCTCTAGGGAGGTCCTCCATTTGCATGCTACCTGGAACAGGAAGCTCATGCCTTGTTAGCAGCTCTACTTTGGGAGACTACCTGCTGTGGTTTCCAGCTACACTATCACCCTGCCAGGCTCCCTGTCTGCTGCCCAGTGACTAGCCCAGGGTTATAGTTACCTCAGCCTGGAAGCCCTCTACCAGAATAGCCACCAGGAGATTGAAGAGAACATAGTTGCCAAAGGTCATGAGGGCAACAAAATAGAGGGAGGCCCAGGGGGTGGTGGAGGCCATGCCATTGTACAGAACAACGTTCCAGTCCTCCTGAGTGAGGATCTGTTGAGAAGGACACAGTTCAGCCCTGGCCCAGCCCTCCCAAGCACAAGTCGTCCACCTCAGCCCCTCCCAGACATGCTATCTAGATCTTCCCCCCCTGAAATCCATGAGCTTTCAGATGCCACCCACCTGGAACACTGTAACGATGGCCCACAGTAAGGAATCAAAGTTCTTCCTGTCAGGGACTGTGTCTCCAGTGTCCGTGCGGAGGCTGAATTTGCAGCCAAAGATATGCATCCCAAGGATGCTAGGAAAAGGATGGAGGTGGCTCAAGGGGCGAATCACGTTCAGCTCTCTGCTCCCCCCAAGACCACCCAGTACCAGGAGAGAGGAAAAGCTTAAGTCTGCATTTATAGAGGGGAATGCCAAGGCTCGGAGGACAGACATTCCCGGAGGCATTGGGTTGGTGCTGAGATTCATAGCCAGATCCTGGCAACATTGTCCCTAGGATCGTCCACTAGCCACCGTGTCCCAGGCTCATACCCGTAGCCCCCAGCAGGTGGGTGGGGCTCACCTGAAGATGAAGATGAAGAGCATGAGCAGCATGCAGAAGGTGGCCACGTTGTCCATGGTCTTCATGAGCACCACGAGCTGGCGCCGCAGCGCCGGCATGAAGCGCACCAGCTTCAGCACCCGCAGCAGCCGGAAGGTGCGCAGCACGGACAGGCCGCCATCAGCCTGCCCCACGATTTCCCAGATGCTGCAGCCAGTACGGAGAAGGCAGAAAGGGTCCGGGGGAGGCCAAGGGGACAGGGAGATGGAAGAAGCAGAGAAGATAAGGAGAATGGAAACAGCTTACATCATCCATCCATCCATCTAACAAGTGGCGTTGGGTGCTACTTCACAGCAGCCCCTGAAACAGGGTTTCTCAGCCATGAGCCCATGGATCCGGCATTAAGAAGCTCATGGCTAGAGTTGGTGAGGTGACTCAGCAGGTAGAGAAGCTTACCACCAAACCTGATTGTAAGATTGGACCTATGCGTGTGTGTGTGCGCGCACACACACACACACACACACACACACACACATGCCCGTGCACGTTGAAGAAGGAGAAAGAGGAGGCAACAGTCTATCGAGTCTTGCAAGTCTGAATGTCACTAACCTCTTTTCGAGGTCGCATACTTCTTTTGATTATGAATGTAAACAACAAACCAGAGAATCAGCCCTAGCCATGACTTCACGGGGAATTAAAATAGCTGACATCTCCGTGTTGCGTGTTGCATAGCTATTTCTGTGTTTCCAACCCCCGTTTGCAACTCTGGGGGCCTCAGACTCACCGCTACCTCTATCTCTATTGGGCACATTCGTGCAAAAGCATATATTACTAAATCACCAGTTTATTCAGTATTTTGATAACTGCCTGCTGGTAGTGGTTTCCTTTGTCACTTCCTCTACTGCTCGGGGTTGAGGCCCTCACTCCTCCTGCTCCTCAGCTTCGGGGTGGCGGTGCTGTTACCTGATGATGACAATGATGCTGTCGAAGATGTTGTAAGGGTTTCGCAGGTAGTCGAAGAGCCCGAAGGCAGCCAGCTTCAGGATCATCTCCAGGGCAAACATGCTGGTGAAGACCACGTTGCAGATCTCTAGGACATTGGTCAGCTCCTCAGGCTGTGGGGGGTGGGGACGGAGACCGTGTGACCCTAGTGAGTCCATTAGGCTTGCACCATGGTCTGTAGGACTTCACAACTATGCTACCTTTGGATCCTGTGGGAGGGGATTGTCTACCAGGAAGTGAGGAAGCCCACACGTGGTGCTGGTACTGAACACTAGGAGACACTATACCACCCGTGTTACAGATGGGCCAGCCTTTCACACACTGCTGGGAAATGGAGGACAAAGGCAGGGTGCCCGCTGCACGCTAGAAACAGCCCTGGGAACAGGACATCTCCACAGTGCTCTCAGAAAACACCAAGAAGATCAAGTCACTAGCTGGTGACCCCAGACCCCCCCATTATTCAGGCACAGGCCTCCCTCTACCCCTGGATTTGTTTCTCTCAGGATTTTAAGAGGCAGACAAGAGCTTGCAAATGGCACCATGGAGAACCCTGATTTGAGACAGTCCATGCCATGGGGCTAAGGAGAATGGTACCAGGCATGGTCCCCTGCCTCTGATGTTTCCTCTTATTATCCACACGTATAGAGTGCGTCCCCAGGCTCTGGCTAAAGGTGAGGCAGGGAACCTCTGTCCCCTTGCTTTCTTCTCCCACATTGAAGGGTCTGGCTTATGCTGAATGGGACAGCAATGGCTTCTCCCTGAATCCTGAAAAAAAGGAACGGCTACTTATTCCTCCTTTCCTGAATCTCAAGGCCCGAAAGATCATTTGACAAGTAAGGAAACTGGCTGGGTGGTGGGACTGACTTGCGCAGAACCACCCAGTGAGAATAGCAGACTCCATTGCAGGACACAGAACTCCTGCCTGAACCGACCAGCTTGCCCACTCATTCATTTGTTCACTCCTGACCGTATCACACAGGTCTTTCTAGAGCCGGCACTGTGCAGGGCCTATGTTCCTGCAAGAGACGTGTCCCCTCTCAGTGGCAGAGTCTCCCTAAAACAAAGCAAGCCAGTACCCACTAACACTCATTTAGCTGAGTATGTTTGGGGGGACAGTGTTGGGAAGCCAGGTGGCCCTCCTGGAGGAAGTGAAAAAAGAGCACTGGTGACACAGGGGAGCAGAGAATGGTGGCAGAGCCAAACTCCCAATCAGGGTAAGAGCTGGCTGGGTGACAGGAGGGTGCCACAACAGCAAGCCATCCCCCCGCTTGTCAGCACCTGAACTCCACAACCTCCCCCCCCAGCAACAGAGAACCCCAGGGGTCTAGCTTTGATCCCATATGGCTTACAAGAAGAAAGAAAAAAATTATCCAGCCACCAGCTTCCCATCTAGTGCCTAGGAAATCCAATAAAGCCGCCAGTTCCTCTCAAGCCCAGATAAAAGGAGAGGGCCCCATTTCCATCTGTAATTACATTTGACTCTCAAAATGCAAAGGGAGCGGGACCCTGGGAGAGTGTGGGTGGGAGGGACTCCGATGCAGCCCACTCTGCCCACCTGAGTCAGATAATCCGAGATGAGAAGGGTAGCGGCTGACGCTGAGTTGGCCATGCGCTGGCTCTCAGCCGCACACAATGTGTACATGTTCCTTCCAACCAGGCTCTAGCCACCGCGCTTCAGAAAGGTCAGCAGCTTGCCTCCCTCCTCCCCCGCAACAGCTGTTTTTCCAGGCAGCGCACACCTGTTAATCTTTCTCTAATGGACCATCCATCACTCCCAAGAGCATTTTTTCTGGGAGAGAGGCAGGCTGGAGAGAGGCAGACAGATGAATATAGACAAGTGGGAGTCCGAGAGGGGCGGGGGGAGGGGGTTGGGGGGCAGGGAGGATGGGGGATGGACAGGAGGCGGGGCTGAGGGCCGCTGTGAAAGGGACGAGGCAGAGATGCAGAGAGGAACAGAGATGGGACCATGATGAACTGACAGATGATGGTGAGCAAAAGGCAGAGGTGAAAGTCCTGCTATAGACATAGGGACAGTGCTCTTGGGATGTAGCTCAGTGGGTAGTGCTTGTCTAACATGCATGGGGGTCAGAAGTGCTATTGCCAGCACCCCATTAACCTGATATGGTTGCATGCACCTGTAATCTCAGCACTCCAGAGGTCGGAGGCAGAAGGATCGGAAATTCAAAGACATTGTTGGCTACATATTGGGTTCAAGGCCAGCCCAGGCTACATGAAATCTTATTTTAGGAAGGGAAGGGGGGGTGACTGAGACAAAGTGACATGACAGACGTCAGAGAGAACTCCAGGAAAGGAGAGACGACATAAAAATCACAGCAGACAGTCAGACAGACGACAGACAGTGAGGAGTCTAACAGGGATGCCCAACATGTACCCTGTGAAAGAACAGGTGGTCCAGATCAGAAGATACCAGCCCATGTCTAGAAGGCACAGGGAGTTCATCCTAGCCCAGTGCTGGGCTTAGCAACCCCGGGCTGTCCAGTCTCAGGCCACCTCTACAAGGATAGATGAAAGGGGCTTCCAAAAGGTCTTTGGACCAGTCCAGGAACCCCTCAATTCATGGTGACAAAGATAGCAGGTGTCAGCTAAGTTCCTTCCTGGGGCAGGTGTGCAAAGAACTTTCTATGTACCAGTCATCTGAGCTCCAATCTTGCCTACACTGTCCACATTTCACAGGTAACGCATGGTTCAGACAGAAGTTACTGCTCTTGACCAGGCCAGGGTGGAGTCCTCTCTGGAGTCTCCTCCCTGTGCTCTGAACCAGGTGCTATCACCTGGCCACATTTTAGAAGAAGTGTGTTCCTCAAACATCATTTCCCTTCTTACACACATTCCACGGCTCTCCACTGAGCTGAGAAGTGTCCTTGAGGTCCTCAGGGGATAAGCAGACCTCCTTGCCCTGTGGACTGTCCACTACACCCTCTGCATGCATCCTTCCTGAAAGCTCTGGGCCCTGCCTCTCTCTCATACTTGTCAGTCTGATCCACCTTTAAGATCCACCCTCAATGCTATCTCTTCCAGGAAGTCCTCCCTGATGGTAACCCACATTGGTTTCTCTCTGTCTCTCTTGTGAGGCCCTCATAGAGTTAAAACGTCAGATGCTACACCATCTCCTAATCCTCTACCCAGAGTCACCTTAAACCTAGGTTACTTGGTAGGGGCTACACAATGAGTTTTGAGTCATTCATGACTCAGGAGGCCTCAAACACACTCCCCTGGGAGCTGGAACCAAAATGGTCCTACATTCTGGAGTTGGGTAGCAGCCCTAACCCCTCTGCTGCCCATTCCACCTTAACCAGCCTTCACTGAGGCCGAGGTGAGGGAGGCTTCAGGGTGGCCCTGCCCAGCTTGAGAGGACTCCCAGCTCTAGTCAGGAACACTAAGGAAGACACTAGTATTTTCCTGGCCAAGGTCCCACCTCAGATGTCATCATCCACGGATGCCCTCTGCACCCCAGAGCCGGATCTGCTAGCTTCATGCCAGGTCACCTAGGCACCCTATGTACCTTCCTCAGTTTCCCCATCTGCCTATCTTCCCAGTGGGGATGAAACACATACCCTGCCTGCCCTCCATGGCTTCTATGAAGATGGTACCCAGCACCCAAGTTGACCTGACCCCTTTGATGTTCACACAGATCGATCAGAGATTACTCAAGGGGTGTGGACTTCTTAGATCTCCTAAAGTCCCCTGGAGATTCCTCTTTTCAGTAATGGGAACTGAACCTAGGACATGCTAGGCAAGTGCTCTGCCATCAAGGCACACATGCCCTTCTTGGGGTATTGTCTCTCTCTTCATGAGACACATGCGAGTCCCTGACCGGCTGACATCCTTTCACCTGTCACCTCCTCCTAGGCCAGTCAGGATAAGGAATAGCCACAGCCATATGGAGCCTGAACAAATTGTTCCTGGTGACAGCTCTCGGTTATCTGAGCAGCAGTGGCCATACAAAAGGCCATGAGCATCTGGACTGAGCTCCCTTTAATTAGGGAGACAGGGGTGATAAGCCAGGACATCACCACCTGTCCCCTTGCAGTGATACGGAGTTCTCTGCGGTCCCAGGATGGGTGCAGAGGAGGAGTGGGAGGGAAGGACCCTATGATACTCTTCCCTTTCCTTCCTGCATGCCATCTGCAACCCTGGGCCACTTCTCACTGTAGGTGCCACCTCAGTGGGGGATGCTCAAAATAAACCTGGGGGTGGATCAGTGTCCCTGCAGAGAGATGCCTGAGAGCCCAGGGCGAGGAACGAAAATACCAACAGGCCCTGCACAGAGCTCCACTGAACAATGGCTGCCACTCGGTGCTGCTTTAAAAAGCTCGGTTTAAAAATGCTTCCTCCTCCTCCTCCTAGCTGCTTCTTTAATTAATTTTTGAGGCTCCAGACAGTGGATGGTAAACTTACCCAGGCTACTGGCAGGAGATTCAAACAAAAGACCTGCTAGTAATGGCAGAGTCTTAGATGCCTACTAGACACCAGAATCCACACCGAAGTCCTTCTCAGGGGTGGGGTGGGGGCATCTGGCTTATCAGTAGATAAAGACACAAGTTAAACAAGTGCCTTTCTCAGGGCCACCCTGTCTGTCAGCTGCAGAAGCAGGGTTGGAACTCAGACCATAAACAAACAACACGGCCTCTGTGCAGTGGCCTTCCAAGTGTGAAGACAGGAAGCAATGACTAACACTGGCTTGGGAAAAATTTGTGAGGACTCAGGGACACCCTGCTCCTCTAGGCCCGGGACTTAGTAGGTTCCTGGTAAGTCCTAAGATAGTCCCTTAGGGTGTGGGGGGGCATCTCTCCATTGAGGTTGCTGATGAGGAGATCAGGGTAGACCCTCCAAATGACAGGAGCCTCTTCCAACCAGGTGGGGACTCCAGGTGGGTGGGGACTTGAGCATCACATGACTTCTGCTGTCCCAACAGAAGAGGCTCTGGCAGGTGTAGAAAGTGTGCTCCATGGGTAAAAGTGTAATCAAACAAATGGCTTTTGTTTGCTTTGTTGGTGTTTCAAGGCAGGGTTTCTTCGAACTCGCTCTGTAGACCAGGCTAGCCTGGAACTCAGAGGTTCACCTGCCTCTGCTTCTCAAGTGCTGGGATTAAGAATATGCACTACCATCTAGCCAAAAGCAATTTTTTAAAGGAAAGCAAGCCTGCTCAAGTGAGATGAGGCAGGTACAAGAAACAGGTGCTAGAGAAGAAACAGACTCACCCAGGGACCATGACAGGCTGAGGGCAAGCTAGAGGGCAAAGGAAGAGTTGCCTTGCCTGTGGTGTTGCCTTGGAGGGGGTTCAAGAAGTCAGAGAGCAGTGGGGCTCAAGTAAACCCACCATTGGGAAACAGCCAAAAAGTGTAGTGTCTGCCAATTTCCGTGGTGTAAACACCTTCTCCATAACCCATTTCAAGCAAGCAACTACTTCACAACTGCTTGCTAAATTCCCAAGTGTGAGAAAATTGGCTCTCGCAGGCTGGTTCCAACAAGCCAAAGACAGTGCCCGACTCTGGTATAGCAGGGTGTAGACACCAGAGCTAGATTCCCAAAGCAACTCTTCTTACGGAGCTTTCCCCAAGAGCGAAAACCCTGCTGGGTCTCTGCATTCTGACAGTCCAGGGCCTTGAGGCAAAGTATTGGCCTCTCCTCTCACCAGCTTCCCCCCTGCAGAGATCCCACCCAGCAGCCCTCCCCAGAGATCTTTTTAATTAAGTCAGAATAGCTGGCAAGCCTGTGGTATCAACTGAGTGTTGGTGGCAGCCCCAGGGGCTACATTTAACTAAATTGAATGAAGCCTGTACTGGGTGAGCTAATGAGCAGAGACAGGAAGAGTGTGGCCCACTCCAGGAACCAGGAGAGGGCTTTGCAAAATGGCGATGACTCCGAAGCCAAAGGGGTTCAGAATCCAAATCCTGCTAGGGTATCAGTGTTGCCACAGGAAGTGGGTTCAAGCCGGGCTGCTGGCTAGCTGTGGGACCTCGGGTCAGCGGGCTGGGCAAAGCCAGCTGGCAAGTGGGTGTGCCCTACCAGGCTGAGGAGCAGGCCAAGGAAGCCACGCCTCCAAGAAAAACCACTAGCAGACAGGAGCCAGGGAATAGGGTCATTCCAAATGGAGCCTGGATTTAACAGGCTGTTACCTCAGGAGTGGCCTATAGGCTGCGGTCTTCCAGGCAGCCTAGGAGGAAAAGCAGTGGGCCCTGAGTCTCAACCAGAGTCCTAAACCATCAAGCCTCACTCGTAATCCAATAACATTGCAGATACCCCAGATCATCTGCCCCTTGAATATGGCCTTGGGTAAAAGGTTAGACTCTAGTCTAGCCAGGATCACGGAGACCTGGGTATATCTTTTCACCCTTGCCCAACCTGAACCCAGTGCTCTGCACTGGCCTGCTTCTCCACCCCTGCTCCACCCAAACCCTGTACCCTCACTCGCCTGTTCATGGTGCTCGATGCCCATGCTGACTGTGTTGACTAGAATAGCCATCATGATGCCTCTGTTGAAGTACTTGCTGTCCACAATGCCCCGAAGCTTGGCTCGTGTCTCTCGCCACACATCCCCACACAGTCGAGCTGCCCCATCCTCCTGTTCCTCCTCTTTCCCCAAGCCCGAGGAGACCCCATCCTCACTGCTCTGGGGTCCATCCTCATTGGCTTTGGCCTCTGTGGAGCCGACAGAACCCGAGCCTTCCTGGCCTGAATCAGCGCTGCCCAGGCCGGAGGGCCGCCTGCCTGCCTCATGCTGGCAGTGAGGGCAGCTGCTGGGGTCAGAGGCCAGAATAGCGGAGATGGGCTGCACCAGTGTGTGGGGAGTGGGATCCAGGGGACTGTGTCGTGGGCACAGCTCTGAAAAGCAAACAGACAGAGGGCAGCATTAGTGTCCAAACCAGGTCCCCACCTCCCTCAAGGACACTGCATGAAACAAGCTGACCCCACCTAGAGATGACTGTCCTTAATAAACACATGGCAGTCCATGCTAACTGTTGGTCACCTTTGACCTTGACCTTGGACCTGTCACTCAACAAATGTTCCCAGGCAGATGGAGAGCAGACACCTCTCAGAGGAAGCTATAGTGGCTTTGGCATTTCTCACTACCCATCTGTGCGAAGGGAGGAAGACCAGACCGAGGCAGACCCTGGGAGCTCCCAGGAGTTCCCTCCATAACGGTGAAAGTCAGGCTAGATTGGAGCAGGAGGCAGGAAGAGTGACAGAGGATAAGGCCTGAGATTTCAGTCCCTGGGCTGGCCTTGGATCTGTGTAAACCGTTTCAAAGAGGTGTCGGAAAGGGTTCCCCGTAGCTGGTTTGCAGCGACAGCTTCTTCTTCTTCTCTCCTTCTCCTTCCCCTTCCCCCTCCCCTCCCCCTCCCCTTCTTCCTCCCCCTCCTTCTCCTTCTCCTTCTCCTTCTTCTCTTCTTTAATTTCTCTTAGTTTTTAGGTTTTTTTTCTGTGAAGCCCTGGCTATTTTGGAACTCACTATGTAGTCCAGGCTAGCCTGAAACTTAAGAGATCTGCCTGCCTCTGCCTCCGGAGTGCTGGGATTAAAAGCGTGTAGCACCTGGCTGGTTTCTTCTTTGTGCTTCCCTATATTCTAGTAACATAAACACATTTTGCTTGAATAAGAAAGGAAGAAGAAAAAACACTAAAGGGAAAGGAAAGTGGGAAAGCCTGACTTTCTCACACCGGCCTCAGAACACTGCAAAGCAACCAGGTGCCTGGGTCATCCTACTCGAGCCTTGGAGGATCAAAGCCCTTCTCAGACTGCATCAACCCCTGACACAGGAAAAAGAGATGGGATGGAGGCCTGAGAAGTCAGAGGACTGAAAAGTGTAACACTTTGCTTCACAGCATTCCAGCCTGAGGGCGGTGGCAACAGCAAGAAGCCTTCCCTAGACTCACATCCCTCGGAAGGTGAGAGCTAGCCTTGCCTAGACCTCACCTCTCCTCTTCACTGCTAGGCTAAGCCCTCAGGCCACCTGGAACCACATCTAGATGGCTAGTGTCTGAGGACAGTGGACAACTGTCTGGTCTTTGCTGGTCTCTCCGACTGACAGGATAAGAAAGCTAGGAGCGTGGAGTCCACTGGCCAGAGCCTCAGACAGCAACTGTCAGTCTCAGTCACAAACTAAGAGATCCCTTGAGCTCTGCTCTGGAGAAGGAGATGGGAGGCCCCATTGGGGTGGTCAAGTTCACAAGGGGAACAGGACATGCCAAGTTCCACAGCTGCTCCAAGGAACAGGCCCAGGGCCTGCCAACTTCTCTGCAGGTGCTAGGGGAAAGCAGACCAAACCCAGAGCTCCCTGTTAGCTCTGGGTGGTCTCCTCTTAGGGTTGTGTGTATTGGCAGTTAGAAACAGATACTCTGCAAGGCCCAACACCTCTGACACTCCACATGACTGAGTCTTACATGGACACACTGGACCACTTAAGTGACTCCCTCATCTCCTTGGGGCTTGGTTTCCCATCTGAAAACTGGAGACACGATTTCTAGTCTGCCTCTTTCTCGGGGCTATTTCTTGAAAGAAACAAGCTAAGGAATCTCTCATTCTCTCTCTCATTCTCTCTCTCTCTCTCTCTCTCTCTCTCTCTCTCTCTCTCTCTCTCTCTCTCTCGGAGCCCACTCTGGTCTTAAACTCACTATATAGTTAAGGACACCCTTGAACTTCTGATCCTCCTGCTCCATGTCCCAAGCTCCATGATTGCCACCATGCTGGGGCTTGAACTAGCGTTTTCACGAATGCTCAGCAAGCACACTAACAACTGCACTGTTTACCCACCCCAGAGAGCATCCTTTCTAAGCTAAACATCAAACTTACACAAACAGCCAAGAACCACTCAAACATGAGGCAGGAGCTGAGTACGGGACAAGGGACCCAATGTGACATGATATGTACTGCTCCTTGTGCCAGGAGCAGAGAACAGCCACAGGAGCCAGAGTGAGAGATGACATCGGTATCCACAAAGAGGGAGGCTAGTCTCGCAAGGCTGTGAGCAAATCGCTTGACTTTCAAGTATTGGTTCAAGGGAATGGTGCCCAGGTTTGCCTGCAAAACTTGGAAGAATTTCTCCGGGGAAAGGGCAAGCCCACACAGACTGGACAGAGATGAGGTAAGAAGTGAACTGAGCAGATGAGTTCTGGACAAGCCATAAGAAAAACAGTATGGTCTAAAATGAACCCTTGGGATCCCACATCTGACTGATATGGACAAGTCTTATTCCAGGAGGCTCGACCCACTGGTACTATTGCCGTTATGAGACCCCAGGTCACGGCACATGAGCTGCAGAGTCAAGGCCACTTACTGCCGTGGCTGGGCTCCTTGGCATGGGGCCCGGGCTTGGCAGGGGCTGGTGTCCCCGGGCCTGTGGCCTGGCGCCGCTTCTGCAGGGCCTGGTAGAGGCCCAGGGCACGGCGCTTGGCCTTGCGAAGGATGTGACAGACATATTGGAAGATTTCCTCATAGCAGTCACCGGGCTCGGCATAACTGGCCACCGTGCTGGAGGACAGGTAGCGCTGGCGTTGCTCCAGCATCAGCCGGTGCTCTCGTTGCTTGGTCTCCGAGAACTGGGTTGCTATGACAACGAGGCACAGGTTGATCATGAAGAAAGAGCCCACCTGTAGCCAACAGGAGGAAAGGACAGGAACAGGGACAGTGGGGACAGATAAGTAGAGAGAGGGGTAGAACCAGCAAGGGGGGGTGGCACGGGAGAAGGGGACAAAGAGATGGAGAAAGAGTTAGCAAGAGCAGGAGACAGACAGAGAGGGAGGCCAGAGAGAGAGAGACAGAGAGACAGAGATAGAGACAGGGACAGGGACAGAGACAGAGACAGACAGGAGAAATGGGGAAGGGTGAGGAGGGGGAGAGGACAGATCAGAGACACAGAGAGGAAAGAAGACAGAGCAGAAAGATGGACAGCAAGACAAAGGACAGCCAGGGTACAGAGTCAAAGACATAGATAAAGGGGGAGGGAGAAGAAAAGGGAGGGGGAGGAGAGGAGAGAAGAGGAAAAAAAGAAGAGAAGGGATGGGGAAACAGAAAGAGAGAGACCAGGATTGGGAGCACATGAGGGATGCATAGTGAGAGGTAGGAACAGGCAGACAGAGGTACAGGGGAGATGGAGGGGCCCAGAGAGACAGAAACACAGACACAGATACACAGATGGGACAGGAAAACATCACTGAGTCCTTGCAGGGGAAGCCACAACCTAGGTGACTTCCCAGGTCAGACTGGGACTGTACCCAAGCCCAGGCCCCATCAGGACTAAGACCCAGCCTCACTACCAACCCATGCAGGTCAGAGATGCTGAAGCCAAGAGGACAGTCACAATCCCTCTAGTCACCAAGGTCCTGAGTCCTACTCACCTGTCTGGATTTGAGCTGTGTGCTTGGAAGGGGAGGTGGAGCCAGGTCCCCCCTCTGTATCCCATCTAACTATTCCAGGATCCACCTCCCCTGGTTCTTAGACCAAAAGATGACCAACAGGCCTCTTGTCCATAGCATTTCCCAGAAAGCTGCTCTCCCCTGGGCTGGTTAAAGACACAGAAACCAGAGAGACTCAGCCCTCTGTAGGCTCACAGGGGCCTTCGTTCAACAGCGGTTGCCCTGGGTGACCCAGGCAGGTCTCATCCTTGCTGGAACTCTGTTTCCCATCTGTAAAATGGGAGGCTGGAGCAAAGTGGGCCCGGGACTTTTCTAACCAGAGACCGGAGGCTGTGTGTGAAGACTAAAGACCTCCCCACCAGCCCACTGATGTCATCCTCTGTCTCGAGAGAGGGGCACTTGGGAACCAAGTGTCCCCAATCACATCAGGGCACATTTACTGAGCACTTACTGGAGAGCAGGGGTATGCAGGCTCCTGGCTGTGTCCCAGCCAGCCCTCCTCATCACCTAGGAACTAATTGCTGCCACTGACCCATCTCATGGAATCTGAGGAGCCTGCCTCAAGTCCTACTAAATGACTTCCTGTGGGAGAGGACTAAGCCTGCCTTCCATCTTCCTCCAGGAAGTCACTTACATACCCGTCCTCCTCCAAAGGGCCCCTCCAGCCCCTACAACTTCTTTCTATCGTGATACCTAAGGTTCTGTATGTCACTGCGACCTCTCAGCTCTTTTTTGCCAGAGACTGGATCTCTGCTCTGCCACAAGAACTCAGTCCATCTTTCCTGGATGTTCTGTTGAAACTAACTTAATGAAGAGCCTGGAATCTGGGCCCTTCTCTCTTTCATCTGGTTTCTCCTGAGTCCAAGGCCCTAGGCTCCCCAGGAAATCCCTGGAGCTGTATCACAGCAGGCGTGGAGCAGGTCAGTAGCCTGTCTGTCCTGACTCCTTAGTCAGGATGTTGCTCATCGGAAGCAAGCTTGCCTTCACCCTCCACCAGGAAGCTAAAGAACCCAGCCTTCATGTTGGGGACTGAACACAGCTCTCCCAGAAGCCTGAGCTCTGTAGACTGTGCTAAGGCAGAAAGCCACCAGTACAAAAGACAAGGTGGACACTTGAAAGCAAGGACAGGAAGTACTGGCCTATAGAGGCAGACAGACCCCCGCCTCCATCACCTGGTCACTCACAGAGCTGCAGAAAATCCAGAGTTCAAAGACTTGCCCAGAGCTCTACCAGGACACTACCAAGGCCAACCTCTTACCCTGTGTCATATCCAGGAACAAGCCCCAGGCAGCCAGTCAGAGCATCTTGTCTACCCCGGGAAAAATGGGGACCAGATGGAACCCCTGAGAAGCTCCATTCTGGAACTATACCCCCAGCTAAGGCCATGAAAGAATGTATTCCTGGGGATTCAGGCAGAGAGAGACAAACAGGACCAGCAGGGTAGATGTTAAAGGCTAGAGGCGAGAAGTGAAGGCCCAGGAGATGAGATGGATGCTCCCAGCCACAGCCCTGATAAGCCCCTTCAATCACTGGCTGGGGTTGGTTGACTACATTTAAAAATATCCCTTCCTGGGGATGAATTGCCTCCTCCTCCTCTTTCTCCTCCTCCTCTTCCTCCTCCTGTCCTGCCAGGCTCCCCTAGCCCCGAGGGCTCTCTGGGGAACTGCCCATCCCTCCTCCCCTCCCTTCCCATCCCCACCTAGCACCATGGTCCATGGTCCTGAACTTGCCCTGATACTTACTATGATGAGCAGGATGAAGTAGATGAAGTTGTAGAAAGAATGTGCGTCCATCACATAGTACATGATCTCCACCCAGCCTTCCAGAGTGATCACCTGTAGCAGGCAGGAGGGCAGGGGCAGAGGCTAAGACACGGGCCCTCCTGTGCTTTCCAGAGTGATCACCTGTAGCAGGCAGGAGGGCAGGGGCAGAGGCTAAGACACGGGCCCTCCTGTGCCTTCCAGAGTGATCACCTGTAGCAGGCAGGAGGGCAGGGGCAGGGGCTAAGACACGGGCCCTCCCATGCACAGGATTTAAGACGAACTTCCGACAGGTGCTGGGGCAGGGGGGCAGCACGAGTAAGGAAACCAAGGCTCCAAGAGATACTGATGTCATTGGCCCATGTCACACTGCCAGGCAGGAGTGGAGATGACACCCCTATCCTCTCTTGCTCAAAGACCCACCCCTGGGGGTGGGGACACAAGCTGAAGAAGCAGAGAGCATGGGGCCCCAGCTCACTAACACTGATAACAGAAACCCTGGCCAAGCTGAGATGTGGGTCAGCTGACCATTCCCTTCCTGTCCCCCACAATGTCATCCAGGGACTAGAATCCATCTGAAGAAAGACAGGCTTTCCTGGGGCCTCCTCAGGTCTGCCTTACCTTTGCTTGTGACAAAGCACTGGGCAACCTCCACCCTCTGGGCAGCCTCCACCCTCTGAGCAGCCTCTACCTTCTGGGCCAACCAACCAAGAGACCCAAAATGGTTGGCCATGGGTTCAGCTCTGAGTCTGTGATACAGCCCTTCCCAAGGCAGAGTGGGAGTCCCTTTTCTTTCTCTGCCCTTCCTCTTTCCTTCCCCTTCCCTTCTTCCTTCTGAGGACAGCAAAACCTCCCTACACAGGAGCTAGCTCCCCTGCTCACAGCATCTGGCTTATTGTCATCTACCCAAGGGAAGGAGTCTGGCGGTACAGTATACCCAGTATGAAGAGTGCGCCCAGAATGAAGAGGAGAAAACTGAGGCAGATAGGCCAAACAAGACCCCTAGTGTCTTACAGACCCAGTTTCCTGAACAAACCCTACCCAGTCCCCTCCAGAGTGCAGAGATGGAGTAGGTGTGAGTCTGCACAAGGTGGTATAATGTTCAGAACATGAGAGCGTTTCCTATGTTCTTCCGATCAGACTTCACCTAGGCCTGGCCTCAGTTGTTGTCCCTCTAGGAATGGCCTTCCTTACCATGGTGGGCCCTTGCTCTAGCTCAGCCAGCCCTTACAATGGAGCCCTCAGTGAGGACTCAGCCCACCTGGGCATCTATAAGGAGCACGGGCCTTGAGGTGAGTCCAAGTGAAATGAAGTTTTGGTTTGTTATTTATAGCAACCACTTGCTCCTTGGACAACGGGCACAAGGAGTTTCCTTCCTTTGAACCTTGGGCTTTCTGCCTGCAAGGGGAGCAGGATGAAGCCTATTCCAACAGCGTGTTGGACAGATCTCAGGAAGTAGCTGGCAAAGTCCAGCTCAAGGCTTTACCCACTGAGTGAGGTTGCCAGCCATACCACCCGCTGCTGGCTGACCAGTCCTGGGCTTGAATGTTCTCACCTGGAAGATCACAATCCAGGCGTAGCCAATGTTGTCAAAGTTGATGGCGCCCTTGTGAGGGTTGGCGTTGCCCGTGCGGCAGACGTTGTAGTAGCGGTTCCAGTTGACGCAGAGGCCGCTGGCATTGAGGTCTTGGTGTCCGGCCCCGAAGTCGTACACATCATCTTTGGACAGACAGCATTCTCGGCCCTGCTCCTTGAGTGGGGGTATCTCGTGGCAGCCCATGATGCCATTGTCCCCCGACAGGGAGCAGATAAAGGGCATCTCGTCATCCTCCTCTGGTTGGTAATAAGGGGGCAGGGCCACATCCCCTTGTCTGCCACAAAAAAAGAAAAGAGCAGCAGGGGAGGGTCATTGCCAGGTGTACCAGATAAAGAGAGGCCATGCTGTGGTGGTAGGGTTAGCCCAAGGCCACATCACCACCTCCAGGCCCAGGAATGTGCAGTCCCCTCCTAAGATACTATTTCCCACTTCTGTTATGATCACAAAAGTCCTGACAGGTCTATTGTGATCTCTTCTCATGGTTCCCTCCTCTGAAGAACCTTCCCTGGAGGAGCCTCCCTTCCACAGAACTAAGCCAGGGCTCCCTGAGCTACACTGTGGCCTGGGACAGATGCTATCCAGCTTCCTGGCTGGACCAGGCCACACAGAGTTTAGACAAGACAGACTGAGTGCTCAATTAGTAGCCACAGGATTTCGCTGGCCCAGCAGGTGAGGGCGTGTATGGCCCTGGGCCGAAATCTCTTCCCTTCCTGGATATGGATTACCTCATCTACGACATTTGCTCATAAGCTCTGCTTTGCCCACCACATAATCACAAATGAAATCCCCGTTGTGATTTTATCTATGGAACCCAGCTAGACGGATCAAAGAGGGATCATCCAGGCAGGGTTTAAAATTGAAAGGACGAACAGAAACTAACCCTACAACAGAGGACTCTGAGACTGTAGTAATGAGCCTAGTGTGGTGTTTTACAGGACTGGGGCCCTTAGTAGGGACCACAATATACAGAGACAGACCCATGTCTTAAGGCAAACACAGATGCCAGTACTCAGGAGTCTGAGGCAGGAGGATTGTGCATTTGGGGCTAGCCTAGGCTAAGCATTGAGTTCCTGGTCAGCCTGGACTGAATAACAAGATGTTGTCTCTTATTTGCTTGCTTGGTTGGCTGGTTGCTTGAGACAGGTCTCACATAGCCCATGCTGTCCTCGCGCTTTCTATACTAACAATGACCTTAAACTTTGTCAAAAAAATACTTAACTCACTTAAACATTTTTAAAAAGGCAAACAGCCGGGCGGTGGTGGCGCACGCCTTTAATCCCAGCACTTGGGAGGCAGAGGCAGGAGGATTTCTGAGTTCGAGGCCAGCCTGGTCTACAGAGTGAGTTCCAGGACAGCCCGGGCTACACAGAGAAACCCTGTCTCGAAAAAACAAAAAAAAAACAAAAAAAAAAAACAAACAAACAAAAAAAAAAGGCAAACAAATTTAGGGGAGTGGTGGTGCATGCACACACCTTTAATCTCAGTACTTAGGAAGCAGAGGTAGGCAGGCGGTGGTGGCACATGCCTTTAATCCCAGCACTTGGGAGGCAAGGCAGGTGGATTTCTGAGTTCGAGAGTTCGAGGCTAGCCTGGTCTACAGAGTGAGTTCCAGGACAGCCAGGGCTACATAGAGAAACCCTGTCTCGAAAAACCAAACCAAAAAAAAAAAAAAAAAAAGGAGGCAGAGGTAGGCAGATCTCTGAGTTCAAGGCCAGGCTAGTCTTCATATAGAGTTCTAGGATAGCCAAGGATACACAGAAAGACCCTGTCTCATAAAACAAAAAGCAAAAACAAAAACCAAATAGAAGCAATACACTGCCTCCTCTCATCTGAATGGCCACCTCAAGGTGTTGTAACTCAGTGTGGAAAGAACGTGTGTAAACAGACATCCAAACCGTTGGTGGGAGTGTAAACTGCACCACCCTTGTGGAAGACAATTCATCAACATCCTTTAACAGTCAAAATGTTACAACCAGCCACACAAAGGCTCAGGACCGCCTGCTTCCAATAAAGACATCACTTTGATCCCCTGCAGAAACGCTGGACCACGCCACACATGGTTGTGGGAAGACTGAATACCCATTAAATAAATCAAACTTGATGTCAATTGGTCCATCACATAACGCACGCAGAATTCTTTGTGATGGAACAGACGAGACAGAAAGAAGCCAGAAACAGAGAGTGTTTTTCTGACTTCAGGCTCTGAGAGTTATTCAGTAACGATGCTAAAAAGATTGCAAAGCTGAACAGGATTGGGGGGCCAAGTTTTTCCAGCCCCAAACGCCATTTGCAGAGTTAAACAGCCACTCCTTAGGACTCCTGCCTGTGACCAAGCAAGCACACTGCTATTACTTATCCAACTGTCAATTTGGGTCATTTCTAGGTATGGGGTCCTTATGACTCAGAATTATTCTTGCCTATGTGCTTTAGTAGGTACAAACAACCCTTCTTTCCTTTGTGTGGGGGATGGTATTTGTTTGTTCAATCCAAGGTGACCTCTAACGATCAACCTGCCAAAGCACCCTGAACACAAGAATTGCAGGTGAGCCACCACTTGCAGCTAAAACTCATTGGCTCTGAGTTTTGTTTTGTTTCTCTTTGTAGTGCTGAAGACTGAATCCAGGGGCCTCGTGCATGCCAAGATACCGCTCTGCCAGCTGAGCTACGCCCTCAGCCCCATCCAATCAGCCTTTCTTCTGAGCAAAGCCCCAGGGTACTCCTGACAAGCTGGGTGTGTTTAGCATTGGGTTGTCTAGCCTCCTACAATGAATCCTAAAACCACCCTGAAGATCCACTGAGACCTCCCAGAACACAGCAGAACGTCGCCTGCTCTGTGTCTGCAGCACTTACTGGCCCTTCTCATTTTAACTATTCTGGTGGGGCACCACAGCGCCTCACTGCCATTTCTGTTACAACTCCCTTAAGACCTGAAAGAAGATGAGCCTTTTCAAATACTCACCTGCCACTCCTGGAGCCCCTTGAGGGGTCTCTAGTAAGATCTTTTGGACTAGCTTTTAATTAGATCATCTTTTGCCTTCTTATCAGTTTATAGTCCTTCTTTATATGTTCTGGACTTGAGATCTCTGGTGGATACAGGTATTGTAAAGTTTTTGTTTCAAGCTGTTCTTTTTCAGACCTAATCACTCCTTCAAACCTACAGACATCTTAAAGTCATGCAATACTTGGAGATTTTCAGCTCACTGTGGACATCAACCCAGATGGGAGGTGGTCTCCCAGCTCCACAAGTGAAGGATGGAGAGACTCAGGAGACCTGGGACTCAGGGATCAATGCAGCTAGCACTGAGGGGTGATGGATGACCACCGGTCATTACTGGAGACTCTCCTGCCAGCCTCTGTCCTGGTACTCTTCTGCCAGCCCCACTCCCTGAACTTAGAAACCCTAGGGCAGCTGTGCCAGTGGCCAGCCTTCACCTAGACATCAGTTCAGATGACCAGACAATACATGGACAGCCCAGCCCAGCCCAGTTCCCACATCTACGTACCCCCAACCCTTCCTCTACTGTACTAGGATGTGGCTGAACCCTCTCCTGGGGTTTCCCATGGCTCTGCTGGTACCAGCCTTAATTGGTCAAGTGATTGCTTTGCATTAGGACCTCTTTTCAGATCACCAGCACCCACATAAAAACTGGTCATGATGATACGTGTCTGTAACTCCAGCACTAAGAAGCCAAAGATATGAGGGCTTCTAGAGCCTGCTGGCCAGCCAGTCTAGTCAAATTGGGCAGTTTCAGTCTCAGTGACAGCCCCCATCTCAAAAATAAACAAATAAATAAATAAATAGAGATCAATCAAGGCAGACCCCCCCCAAACGTTGGCCTCTGGCCTCCACACACATGCATACATGAAGCCACGGACACACATACACATTCACACAAACCAACGAGTAAAGACAATATGCTTCTCCCACAGGATACTGGGAAGGTAAGTGAATTGGTCCTACAGATCCAGGTACCATTTCTGTGCCTTCTCAATAAATGAACAGGGGCTCTCCCTCCCACCAGGAGCATCCCAGTCTGGTGGAACACACATGGTGCCTGCTCAGCACTTCCTAGGGTCAGGCATTGGCCTAAGATTCTACATGTTCTAATTTGAGTCATTCTCAAATCACCTCTGTAATAGGGAAACTGAGGCACAAAGTTGCTGAAGTCATGAGGCTAGCAAGTGGCAGAAGCAGAATCTGACCCCGAAGTCCAGACTCCATTGCCCAAGCCCCCCCCCCCCCCCCCCCCATGGCAGCATTGGGAGGCTCTGACACAAATTACCTCCTACCTCAGCCCCTCCCCATTATCCACCAAACATCATCCTTGACCCTTCAGGTTCGGGTCAAAGTTGTGTCCATAGACATCCCAGAAGTCCTTTCTTCTCAGCCCAGCACCCTAAATCCAAATAAACATTTAGCTCCTTTATTCTCCTTTATCCTAGGGTCAAGACCAAGAAACAGTGCAGAGCCTGCCCTCAGAAGTGGCAGGCAAATGTTTGTTATGATACCCATGCTCTGAGAGAGGCAGAAAGGAACCTTGACAGCAAGGTTCCCTGAGTAAGTCCCTCTCTAGGTCTTATTCCCTGTCTGTATAGTAATAGCTTGGACTGAGGTCCCCGGGGGGCTCAGCACACACCCCTGTGTTCCATCTAGGAAGGATCTTGCTCTACCTAGCCTGCATGGCTCGGGAGTTTGTTCATAGAATGGCTGGCTAGGGGTTGGAGGTGTGATTTGAGGCCTCCAGACAACAAGTTAGGGAGAAAATAAGCCAAGAGGATGAGGGGAATTCCCCACTGAGTGCCTGTTGCTTCTGTCTATGGCAGGTTTGGCTCACCAGATCCTGAGCTGAGGTCTGGTCAGAGCCCATCTGTGTGAGCTCCAGGAAAGACCTACTTGTTAGCTTTCTTACCAGCTGCTCTGCGGCCTGCTGCGAGCTAGGTCTTTTGAGTTGAGGTCTGACCCTGTCTCCCTCTATGGGGGTTGCAAATAACCTTGGCCTCGCTCTCTGCCTAAGCCTGGAACTTACCAACCTCTTTCTCCCTGAAGTGCAGTCATCCTCTGACCGAGTGGGGCCTGTCAGTCACGGTCTCTGGCCCTGATGAGACTAGGAGCTCAGGAGAGTCACCCAGCCTCGCCAGCTATGACTTGCCCCTGAAGTTCTCTGGCTCCTCTCACATTTGGAACTCTTTTTTGCAGGTGGGCTAGCTACACATTGGCCCAACGTGCGGCCCAGGCGTGTCCACAGCACTGCGCGCCCGTCTTCCCTCATCACAGGCAAGGGAGGGCTGGAGCCACCTCTCAGAGCCCAGATAGGACCAGGGAGCAGCCAACCAGGAAACAGCACATAAATTCTCCTGTTGCAGAGCCAAGGAGAACCAGTCTTCTTCCCTACCTGCCTCTGTACAGGGTTACTGTTCACTCATTCATGCTCTCATCATTCATTCACTCATTCATTCATTCATTCGTGCTGTTATCCACATTTTAATCCGCCCCTCATTCATCCATTCATAGTGAACAGGCACTGTTGTAGGCCTTGAGAGAAGAGTGAGGACCAATCTGTCCTAGTCTAGGGGGAGAACACACATCCTAGGGTCCTCGAAGGCCAAGTATGTCATTTCTCCAGTGACCCCAAATACTCAAGCTGACAAATGGGACCACTGCAGGGAAAGATTGGCCAACAATGGAGCTTAGCAGCTGGTGCGTGTGCTGCCTGGGGAAGAGGCAACAATCCTCCCTCAGAGGGTGACATGAGGGTTGAGCCTAGATAGTGAGACAAGTCCAGCCACAGATCCACATGGGACAGAGGGGGCACAGATGGATGGTGAGCCCCAAATGCCAAGAGCTCACACACATGCTGCTCTTGAAGGACTTCCTCTCTTCCTGCCCCTGACAACTCAGGACTGCCCTCTGCCAAGCACTCAAACAAGTGTAAAAGCCCCTCGCTCACTATCCACGGGGTCCTCACCCAACAAGGTAGCCCTTCTCTGGCCTCCTCAGGTACCCAGTGCTCCCCACAGCATAGCGATGGGTAGGTAGACTAGCCCCTACCCAACCTTCACCTCCCGTTACATCACATTGTCCCTAATGCTCCAAACCCTGAAAAGGGAGGCTCATCCCAGCTCATGCAATATCTCAACACCGCCACACTCGGAAGAGACACTCAGCCTTGGCGACCAAACAAACCCTAGCTGTAGGTACCCTCGCTCAACGAAGGGCAGGCCCTGAATACATCTGCCAGGTTAAAATAGACATGATCAGTCTTCTGTTTCAGCCTCTGTGGGCCTGGAACACAGTAGCATCCCAGTGGCTTGTGGAAACTGGAAGCTGAAGTACCCTTACCTCCAAACACATAGTGTGTGCATACACTCTAGGCTGCTGTCACTGCTTGGGAAGAAGGGATTCTAAAGACATCATTTTGAGAAACAAACCCATTTTTAAGCAGATCTTGACATTCTGCCTGGAGGGGTGCCTGGTTCCCACTCTAAACCCAACAGCAGGATGTGTGCTGGTCCCATTATGGCACTCCCACACATCCCTCCTTGGGTTCTAGAACTTTCTCTCCTTCCAATGTCCAAACCTCCGTCTCTCCTTATATCCAGCCTTCCCCGATTGGCTGTTTCTACGTTGTTGGCCCAGTTCTCAGTTAGCAAATGAGTTAGCAAGAGGCAGGTCAGAGTCAGCAGGAACAGAGTGGGTTGGAGATGGGGTAGGAGTGAGGAACGCTGGCCAGGGTTTTATGTTGATAGAAGCTAGGGTCTTCTGAGATGAGGGAATCTTAACTGAGAAAATGCTTCCCTTGGGTTGACCTACAGGCAAATCTGCAGGGCATTTTCTATTGATAACTGATGTGGGAGAACCCAGCTCACTATGGGTGGTGCCACCCATGGAGTGGTGGTCCTGGATTCTATAAGAAAGCAAGCTAAGCAAGCAATGAGGAACAAGCCAGTAAGCATCACCCCTCCATGGCCTCTGCTCCAGCTCCTGCCGCCAGGTTCCTGCCCTGCTTCAGTTCCAGTCCTGACTTCCCTAAATGATGAACTGCAAGCTGTAAGATGAAATAAACCCTTTGCTCCCCGAGGTGCTTCTGGTCCCCATGTTTTATCAAAGCAATAAAAAGCTTAATTAAGATGGGGTGGGGGACTCACATGGTGAAGTTCTCCTCCAGGAAGCAGCGGTTCCGCAGCAGGCCTGCCCAGAGCTGCACGCCGATGATGCCGAAGATGAAGAAGACGAAGAAACAGAGCAGGAGCACATTTCCCAGCATGGGCAGCGTGTCGAGCAGCAGGTTCACCAGGATCCGCATGCCTGGGAGAGACAGTGGTATCAGAGAAGCAAGAGGAGCAGGCCAAGAGGCTAAGGGGTAGCTGGAGGAGAGATGGAGCCTCTCTCCTCCATGTCTGCCCCTATGCCCACAAAGCCAGAAAATGGCTCTGGGCCCTGCTGCACTTCCATGAGATCATGGGTGAAGGAACACACACTTAGGGAGCCCCCCTTTACGTGCTGAGTGCTCACCTGAGGATGTGCACAAATAGGCTCTCCTTTAGCCTCCGTAGTAACCCCTTGAGGCTGGCAATATTATCTGTTTTATACAGGCGGTCCAGAGGACCAGCAGGAGCTCTTTGCACAGCATCCCCTGGCTAGGTAGCAGAAGGATGTGAATTTAAACTGTGGCCTGATACTGAGTCTACCCTTCTTTCTACGACCAATCCTTTTCTTCATGTGGCTTGCTCACCCTAACAACCTCCTATCGGCTGCCTCAGCCTGGTGAAATCTCACTCTGTGGAGCCTTCCCAACCTTCTCCCACCAGAGCATTCAATCCTACGCTCCAGGCAATCTCAGCCTCTCCTAGCCTAGGCTACCCTGTATAGTTAGTTTGTATGTTGTGCGGCCCTAAGAGAATTGCATCCCATTTGCATCGCCATCTGACTCTAATAAAGGCCCGTCCGCCTGTACACTTTCTTGTCCTATCTACTGGGCTGTAAGCTCCCGGGAGATAGGATCTGTGTCTGAGTTGCCTCAATAGTCCCAGAAGCCGGGGGGGGGGGGGGGGCCAAACCCAGAAGACAAGCTTCGTCGACGTTTGCTGGATGACTGGTTGCTCCTGTACAAGACTGGGGAGGAGGGGAAGATTGGAGGGGGGGGAGGGACGATGACAGGTAGGTGAGTTGGTCCTGTTGGACTTTGATTGATCCCAGCGTGATACTGAGGTGGTTATTAATGAGGATAATTATCATGGATTTACATCGCAAACTCGGTGTGGAGTGATTTCCAATCAATAATTAATGCCCACCCCCATCTTCCCTCCCCACAAAACTAGGTCAGCGTCCTCTCAGGAAAAGCAATGGGGCTCCCTGGCAAGCTGCGTCATCCAACTGAGAACTTCCAGGGCCAGAGCTCAGCACCTGATTGCTTTATATCTACCCTCCAACATGGGGACCAAGAGGGATGTTTACTAGGGGAGACAAGATATGTCCCAACGTGATCCCCGAAATGGACCAACTGCAAGCCTTCCTGGGGCTGCAATCATTCATTCACGTTTGCACGCATGCATGCATTCATTCATCGAGCGGTAGATTGCCCGCACTGTGCTGAGAATTCCCCTCAGAGCTCACAGCCCAGCAGCGGGGTCCAGAGACAGCAGCGCTGAGCAAAGGGACATATTTGTGGGGAGGATGAAGTGGAGCTGGGCCCTACAGGATATAAAGAGCCTGCCAGAGGTGCTGAGGGGAAGTGTAGCCTGTGAGCATGCGTAGCTGCCTTGCCAGGCCTGGGGTCACTGTAGAGGATTCCAATGAGTTAGGTAGGGAAGGCCTGGGAGGATGGATGACTAATCAAAGGCCTGTGTCACTGTCACCAGCAGATCTCAAAGCAGCCACAGTCGTTGAGTGGCTCTGGGCTCGGCAAAGTGCCATCCCAGAGTCTACACACTGGATGGAGACCAGGCACTGGACCAGACTACCTTGAGGAGGCTGCAGGCTCCGCTCCGCGCGCAAGGCTCACTAACTAGCTCAACGCCAGCCTGGCTGCTCCTGGCTGCTCCCAAGGGTGCCCTTTGTTGCTCAATTAATCACATTTCCCTTGTTCTCCAGGATATTGAAATTCTGAGCTGCCAGCCATTTTCCCTGAGCAGCTGCCCTCTCCCTCTGCTTCTCTCCCGCCCAGGGGCCCAGCTCCTCTCTCAGGGTTCCTCTCTAGGGCCTGGGGAGTCCCGGGGCCACAGAGCCAAGGTGTAATTAGGTAACTAGGAATTTAGCACAAATTGAATTCGTCCATGGCTGCCCAGGGAATTGGGACCACGGGATTAGGAGTCAGGCAATGCCCCAAGGAGCCTAGCTAAGCCTTCTTTTACATACTTGGTATAGTAGAACAGTCAAAGAGGTAGGATGTTGACGCTCTTCCTCCAGTACCCTGGCGCTAGGCACATGAGGACGAGGAGGTAGGAGAGGGCAAAAAGCAGAGGCATAGACAGAGCAGTAGAAAGAAATGGAGACAGAAATTGGTAAGAAGATGGGACAGAGGGACAGAGGGAAGGGTACACGCATGAGAGAAAGAGCCACCTTCAGACTTCTCTTTCTACGTGCTATCTCCTCCTCCAAGCAGCCTTCCTGGGTTCTCACCACATCTGGTCAAAAGTGCCCGTCCTCCAGCACAGCTGCCCCTGTCATAGCCTCCCTCTCTGAGACTGGGCTAACTTTGGATGCCTTCAGCCTGAGTCAGGAGCCAGGTGACCCATTATGTCAGTGGCCCCAAGAATCTAGCTAAGGGCCTGTTCCCCAGCTAAAAAGGGACAGGAGACACAGGATATCTGCCTTAGACTCACCCCTGGTGGCAGCCAGCACAGTCCAGATGAAGAGGTCTAGGTACTAGTCCCAGCTGGGTAGCAAGACAGACCCCTCCCAGGACCACAGTAGCCTCAGGAATAGGCAGGCAGTTCCCACTGCACATAGGTATTTGATTCAAGAGCATGTGTGTCCACACATACACTACTCCTCTTCTTTGTCCTCCTCCTCCTCCTCCTCCTCCTTCCCCTCCTCCTCCTCCTCTTCAATTCAGCCTATAGTCCATTCAAAACATCCCTATCAAGACAGCCCCGTGTCCTCTCCCGGAAGCAGCCCTGGCCAGCACTGCTATATCCTCTGCAGACCCAGTTTCCCTCCGGGCCAGCACACACTCAGAAGGGCATCTTGCACCTTCAGTTCTCCTCTTCTGGTCTCTAGAAATGGGCTGGTGCCTGACTTGAGCCCTCTCTCCCTCGGTCACAGTACCAATGACCCTGAAGGACCCCTGTATGTTCAGGGCTCCACTACCCTGAATTTAGGTTCTTAATCCAGGCAAGTCTGCATGCAAGTTCCATATTCCCTAGTCCTGCCCGGGGCCTGCCCAGAGCAACAGCCCCTCAGGACACAACAGATTACAGAATAAAAGGCTGATGGGCAGGGCCTAGAGAGATGCCTCACCAGTTTGGAACATGGCTACATCTTCCAGAAGATGGGGTTTGATTCCTAGCATCCACACAATTCCTAGCAGTCATCTGTAACTCCAGTTCTGTGGGATCTGATACCCACTTCTGGCCTTTATAGGCCTCTGGCACACACATGGAGCACAGGCATACATGCAGGCAAAACACCCACACAAACAAAAGGAACAAATAAAGATTTAAAGAGAGACTGATTGGTGAATTCCCTTCCACCGCTACTAAACAGGAAGCCTGTCACCACCACACTGGGCTCTGGGCCTCGGGGACTCGTCAGCTTTAAAAATCAAACCAGATGAGGCCAGATGTGGTGAAGAATCTTTGTAATTCCTCCACTTAGGGTGGATGAGGGAGAAGGATTGCCTGAAGTTTGAGGCCAGCCTGAGCTACAGAGGAAAACCCTGTCTCGAGAGTCAATTAACTAATTAATTAAAATAAAATAATAAAATGAAATTGGAAAAAAAAAACAAATTTCTGTGCCCCGTGAAGAACATGTGAGAACAGACAAGCCTGATGAGTCTGTAGATCTGTCCGTTTGTCCGTATGACACTAAATATGAAGATGGGCAAACCAGGAAGGGGGGGTGCTGTCAGTCGGGGTTGGGGGACCAGAAAAGCAAGAGTATGCTGAGCAAAGGAGGTAAAGAGTCATGTCCGTACTAATGAACTTCAGGCAGCAGGCACGGCCAGACACAGAGAACAGAGCAGGGCAGGGCAGAAGAGGCCACTGGGAAACAGCTCTCAGGATCCTGGGCAAATGCCCAGTGAATGCCATCACGTGAGCCCATCTCATATGGCGGACAGGCTTATAGGCTTTGTGACCAGGGAGGCAGTGGTAGCCGTATAAAGGTGGGAGGCAGGAGGAATGGGTTCCCCATCCTGAATCTCACTGTTGAGATTATCCCAGCCACTTTAGGCCTACTTCACGGCTCATCAGTAGTTTGCCACTGGGCATCTGATCCATCTGTCCCTATGTGTCTTACCTGTCCACACCGGCCATCGGGATAAGCTAAAGGACAGGAGAGCCAGGTCCAGATGACACAGAGTGGCATGGAGACACAAAGAGGATCCTGGCGACACTGGGAAGGTGGGTTCAAGAGATGTGGCATAGGGTGTGGGAGGAAGGAAACCATCAGGGATAGCTGGAAGGCTTGGGGTCACGGAGCAGCCATCAGTGGGACAGGAATCCATCTAGACATGTGGAGTTTGGGGTCCCTGACCATCCTTGTAGAGTTGCTTCACTAGGGCTAAGAGTGTGGGATTCAGGAGAGAAGGGTCTGATGTAGGAGTGTGACGTGAGTGGCGGCGGGGATAGGGGTCTAGATGGCATCAAAACTGGTGCTGTAATGGCAAAGGCCAGACAGGGAAGTGAATACAACAGCTCCATCCCAACCCTAAGAGATGGAGAGCCCCATGATGGATAAGACATGAAGAGGCCCCACGGTGACCATAGAGGAGACAGCGAGAGGGAGATTCACTTCCTAGTAGGAATTTCCTCCCCAGGTCCAAGGTGCTCTGCAGACAGGGGCTGTCAACTCAGATTAGCTCGGCCACACTGCCAGGCTAACTCAAGCACAAATCATGGGACATGTGCCAGCCTCAGTCAGGGCACAACCCACATGCCGGGGACAGGAGGGACAGCAGAGAAAGAGATGTGCCACGGCTGTGGTCTGGCCCCCAAGGCTGCATGCTTTCTGATCCGGCCAGGTTGGTGGAGGGCACAGAGCAGCCAGGAGAGAGGAAAGTGCTGAGCTCAGGGAGAAGCCGTCTGCTGCCCTGTTGTTGCCAAGCCAACTAATCAGAGGCACAACAGGGGCTAGGGAGGCCGGGC